GTGGTTTTGTTTCTTTCTTTCCTTTTCTTTTTACAGGGAGGCGAAAGTGGCTCCGGTCGGGTTTTTCGATAAGTATCCGGCGCTGGTGACTGGATTCTTCTTCTTCATGTGGTAGGTGACCTGATTCGCTGCATCCTCTCCGACTGTGTGTGCCTTTCTCTTCTACTTCTGTTTCTCTGCTATACGCTGAGCTATGCTCTAATTTCCGTTATCTAGCCGTGTTTCTCTCCGTGATCATCGCTTCGCGTTCTGAAATTATGCCTGTGTCCTTTTACCTTTGCAGGTACTTTTTGAATGTGATCTTTAACATCCTCAACAAGAAGATCTACAATTACTTCCCGTATCCATAGTAAGCACTGTTATTATATTCATCAAATTAATGTTTAATTTAGAGTGTTGCTTGTTAATACATTGATTAAGCAAGAGTTCCTGGTGTAATGTAAGATGCTAATGGCGTCCAGGTTTCAATAACGAAACGAAGAAGTCGACATACTAGCTCAATGCATTATATGTTAATTCGAGTTCAAATCTCACATTAAATTATAAGTTTCCTAGATCCGTTACAAATAGTATATTTCAATATCTTGGGACTAAACACTTAGTTTCATGCTTTTGGCGACATGCTTCCCTGTGAGCTTCTTTATTATCTTGTGAAGGTAGGTGTGAAAGAGATAATAGTAACAAGATTGAGATTGATGGTGGACAGTAAAATCTCAGGCTCTATTATTGGAGATGAGCAGTTAAAAGTTACGTAGAAGTTAGTATGAAAGTGCTATGATTTTTTTTTTTGACCAGAGAAAGTGTTATGATTTGATAGTAATTGTCGCTGCTAATCAGTACTAGTAATTGACTTCGACTAACTAATAATAACTTACGGCCGAAATAACCTATTATGGGTGTATGCAGCTTTGTCTCGGTTATCCATTTATTCGTGGGCGTGGCGTACTGTCTTGTGAGCTGGGCCGTGGGCCTACCCAAGCGAGCTGTAAGTAAACTTCAAATTCACTCGGCCCATATCTCATCATCATCGCCCAAAAACGTCCAAAATCCGCAATGTAGGAGAACGTGTTAAAACGTTTGGAGACATGAGAAACACTACTATCAATTTATCGCAATTTTCTAAAAATCATATCTACAATTTTTGTTCATTTATCAATGGCATGTATTCTGATACGTGAATGGCATATTTATATGCTTTGTAGCCCATAGACTCGAACCTGCTGAAGGTGCTGATTCCTGTGGCAGTGTGTCACGCGCTAGGCCACGTGACCAGCAATGTGTCATTTGCAGCTGTTGCGGTTTCCTTCACACACACCGTTAAAGGTGATCAAATTTCTAAAAATTGCCTCAAACTCGTTATATTTGTAATTTTGTAATGTAATCATTGTGAGCTCTTTTGTTTCAGCTCTGGAGCCATTCTTCAATGCCGCTGCTTCCCAATTCATACTTGGCCAGCCAATTCCTTTTACCCTCTGGCTCTCTCTGGCTCCTGTTGTTATTGGTATGATCGTCTCTTGACGGTGGTTGTTTCTCTCCCACGGTTCACCATCTTCTATCAAATTTTAATGTCATACATGACTATCCTCTATGAACTTGGGATAATGAATATGCTTGCTTTAGAACCAAGATATAATAGAGGTAATATTATATAAGGATAAATGTGAATCCGACGTAACATATAATAAGTTATTTGAATGAAACAGTTAAATCAAGATGATATATGTTCAACCATATCAACAAAATTTAATCAAATATTTTTAAGTCAAAGTTTGATTGTTGTGAGGGAATATGCAGGTGTGTCAATGGCTTCACTGACTGAGCTCTCATTCAATTGGACTGGTTTTATAAGCGCTATGATTTCAAACATTTCATTCACATATCGCAGTATCTATTCAAAGAAGGCTATGGTAATATTCCTCTTCTCTCTCCATTGGTCACATTGATCATTACTAAGAAATTGAGACTTGACTGAACCATATTATGCGCTCCCTGACACGACTCTATTATTCTGCAGACTGATATGGACAGTACAAATGTGTATGCCTACATTTCCATAATTGCCCTAATTGTCTGCATACCACCAGCCATAATTGTGAGTAAATTTGTACTTGCGGCCCTCGTGATGAATACAAAAACCTTCATATAACCCATGGACTTCTTATCGTTCATTATTTGATCACACAGTTCGAGGGGCCTGCACTGATGAAGGGTGGTTTCAGTGATGCAATTGCTAAAGTTGGTACTGTCAAGTTCGTGTCAGATCTTTTCTGGGTCGGAATGTTTTACCACCTCTACAATCAGGTAAGCATATGCCACCAGATGAACTTATTCGATGCCTTACCCTTTTTTTTTTTTGTTGGGAGCAAAATTTGATGCCTTATCAATCTAGCAAAAATACACTAACTTTACCAAAGAAGACATATTCTTTCACACACAATTACATTTTCTTTCCTGTGTTATTTTCTTCAAGTACATGATTGTATGATAGATGGAGTTAACAAATTGTTGGCGTTCTTATCACCAGCTGGCCACCAACACTCTGGAGAGGGTGGCTCCTCTGACTCATGCAGTTGGGAATGTACTGAAACGTGTGTTTGTGATTGGCTTCTCAATCATAATCTTTGGTAAGCATATTTTCCTCTTCCATTTTGGAGCTCTAGTTTAGTTAGTTTCAATTTTGATTGCTTTAATAATCTAAATGAATGGTTCTTGCGTTCGTACATGACAGGCAACAAGATCTCCACCCAAACTGGTATTGGAACATGCATTGCAATAGCAGGAGTGGCCATCTATTCTTTCATCAAAGCCAAGATGGAAGAGGAGAAACGAGTGAGTGCAAATGAAACGACTGAAGAATAATAATATATATTTACAGTGAGTTGTATATGATTATGCTTTTGTATGATGGTTTTCATTTGTTCTGCTCCTCGTGTGGCAGCAAGCGAAAGCGGCATAAGGAAAAAGAGACGTGCGTCTGAGCGCTGGAAATCATATCAATCATCACAGATTTGCTTCAAAAATAATAGAGTGATGGCTCCATATTGTATTATCCTTTCCTTGTAATAATTTCTGTTTCTTCCTCTCCCTCTCACCCTTGTCAATTTTCTCATCCTCTTTTTTGATTCTATCAAAAACCAAAGTATTTCTGTTTGCTGATTCGCAATCATCTCATGTTGACTGAACCATGATGTATTCATGATTCCCTCGGGACATGTTTAAGCTCTCCTTTTCAATTCCCTTGGTCTCAGAAATTGATAATAATACTGCTTCTCATATATGAAAAGTAGCCAGCTATACATGGAAGTCATTGGCTTGTTGAGTGGACTAATAATGAGTAGAACGAAAATCAACGCAAGGGGATTAACAAAATTTATTCCTTAAATGAGCATATAACATGGCTTTAAGATATTTTATTCTTGTTAATATGACTTTGATATATATATATATATATATCCAATCAGCTAAAAAAGTTGTTTATTCATACGAAAGAGGAGTGAGGAGCTCAGTTCCCGCCATGTTTTATTTTGTTTTAAATATACAAAACTTATACATAAATTACTTATTTTTCGTACATGTTCGTGTCATTTTGAGTCCATTTGATAAAAGTTTTCCCAGTGTAAACTTTTCAACCTACGCTGTTGTTATCTATAGTTTGCTTCGTTTAAAAAAAAAAAAAAACCTCAGAAAACTGCTCTGCGTCTACTTTTCTTACTAGGTTGTGTCAAAATATTTTATGGAGCAATTGTACAGAAAAAAAGGATACTCCTCCGGTTCTAAATGTAAGATCCTTATACACACTAGTATAAAGGTCTTATATTTAGGACCGGAGGAGTATTTTATTATGAAACAAAAAGACATCGAAGTAAAATAAAATGTCGAGATTGGCTTTGTGAAGTATTCTTAATTCTTAATATAATTTACCTCGTTCTTTATTACTTTTAAGCTTTAGATGGTTGCGGCCAAGCTACAATAATAAAAAATTGTGGCCAACCCATGAAACTGCTTCTGTAGTTTGAGGAAATTGAATAAAGAGTTAATATTTGAGTGCCCCTTATTTTCTTGCCTATTATATTTTGTTATGATTATTTAATAACATTTTTATTTCTTCAATAAAAATATAAAATGCATTTTAAACACATTGTTGTTCTCTTATTCTTACTCTAAAAGATAGAATTTATTCTGCACACAAAATTAAATACTACCTCCAATGGTCCTTAATATAAGGGTTGTTTGAATTTTATTTTGATCCTAATTATAAGATTTCAATTCACTTTTGTTTTCATATTATTCATTTTTTCTAAAGCAATCTTAATAATAATGGTTGTTATAACCAATATACTTGGTTAGCAAGAATATTTTAAAAAATATAAACTTATTTATTATAAATAATTAACTTAAATAATTTTAATCTATTTAAATTAATCAATAAACTCTTATATTAAGGAACATGAGATTTAGTATAATGAAAAATAAAATTAAAATGACCCCCCGCGATATCCACTTTCTTGACCCAAAACTAAATGACTTAATCCGTATTAAAGCCCAATGAAAAAGCCCATAGGAGGGAAGAGAAAAACGGAAGGCACATCAAACTGGGCCCAAAGAAACAAAAACACGAAACATCGATTCGCTGATCGCATCAGACGCGAAAGATCCCAAAGAGCAGAGCCAATCAGAAGGAGCCTTCAGAAAAATTTAAAGAACTCCATTCAAAACGCAACAAAACACAGTAACTTGTAATTCAATTTCAAACACTCGCACATCACCATGATCCCACACACACGCACACTAATTAAATTCACCGAAACAACAACCCCCGAAATTGCTAAACCTTAAAATTAAAAGAACTTAAAAAAACGAAAATTCTGACAAGAACCGTGGAATAAAGGTTCATCGAAATTAGAACAACGTGTAGAGATAGAGAGAGACAAGTCAGACAACACAGATTTCATCTCATCAAATAAAAAAGGAAAAACGCAAAAAGAAAAAAAAACTGAACTTGTTAACAAAAGTCATCTCTTTTTTTGATTTTTGTTTTTAGTCATCGTTACCGAGTTCTCGTTTGACACGAACATTCATCACACCGTTAATAAAAAGAGAAACAAAAAAGCCAGTATTTAGTATTTACGAAGGAAAATAAAAACGAATTATGAAAGGTGGTGGAGGAATTGTACTTGTAGGAGTCAAGGGAAACTGTTGTTGGCTTATCTTTGTTTTTCGATTTTTGTTATTAATATTATTATTGTTTTTCGGTTTGTTCTTTTATTCTTCAATCGTTGTTCTTTCTTTTCAATCCCTCATTGTACGCTGATGCTTTTTCTTATTTATTATGTTATTTCTAATTATTTTTCATCCCAGGATAATAATCTTGTGCCTTTTCAATCCTTGACTATTACGGAATTTTGGTTTAAGAGAGAGGAAGGTAGAGATGAGACGGTATAGATAAGGGAGAAATATTGATTCTTTTCGGTAGCCCTAATTTTCTGTTTTGGTTCCTTTTTCTTGAGCGTTCTGGATTTCTTCTGGGGGTTTGAAGAAGGTAACTTCAGGGAACCTTCGATCTTGATCGTTCTTCAATGGAGGCCGAGTCTGTGTCTGACGGGGAGAATAATCGGAAAAGGGACGCCGCTGATGAGTACAATGACAACAATAATGGAAGTAACAAAAAAATTGTAAATTCCAATGAAGGGCAGAGCAAGCCCAAGCGTCAGATGAAGACTCCTTTCCAGCTTGAGGCTCTGGAGAAAGCTTATGCTTGTTAGTTCCCTTCTTCAATTTTTTGATCTCCCTCTCTATCTGTAGTTTTTTGTTTTATTTAAATTTTTACGTGTTTTTTTTATTTTTTCAATTTGAAGATTTTGTTTGATATGCGTTCAATCCGTTTGCTAATGGAATGGACTATTTCTGTTGATTAGTGGAGACGTACCCGTCGGAGGCGATGAGGGCAGAACTGTCGCAGAAGTTGGGGCTGTCGGATCGGCAATTGCAGATGTGGTTCTGCCATAGGAGGTTGAAAGACAAGAAGGACGTGCCCAAGTCTTCAAGAAAGGCGCCACCGCCGTTGCCCGCTTCACCGACGGACGAGTTGAGGATGGAGACTGAACTTGCCAATGATTATGGATCCGGGTCGGGTTCGGGCTCAAGCCCGTTTACTCGTTCAGAGTTGCGGAATGTAGTACCTAGGGGTGTTCCTGGGTACTATGAGTCGCAGCAGGCTCTTATGGAGCTCAGAGCAATTGCTTGTGTGGAGGCGCAGTTAGGAGAACCCTTAAGGGAGGATGGACCTATTTTAGGAATTGAGTTTGATCCATTGCCGCCAGATGCATTTGGAGCACCTATCGGTATAACGCTTAGTGCTTTTGTTTTTTCCTCACATCAAGATTGTGTTAACTCATCTTCAGTTTATGCCTTGTCTTTATATGTTTTATTGTTCATTTTTATTTGTTTTTTTATTTTTTGCTAGGACTATCGGTCTCTTACAGTCTTGTATATAACAATTTAACTGTTAAATCAAGTGGGCATGGTTAGAATCTTCACATTGTTCAATTACTTAGGTATCATGAGTTTGTTGGTGTCTGTTTTGTTTCTTAAACATTCTGTATTGTATGAATGTTGTAGCGATTAATGTTCATATACAGCATCTTTGACCACCTCTGGGCCTTTTTTGATAGTAGACATGGTTGCTAGAATCAATAACTTATGTGGCATGAAGGGTTGATAAACTTCTGTTAGTTTTGCGTGCTTCTGTTTTGTTTGGCTGCTGACAATTTGGCGACTTGTTTTTTTCTTGGAGCAGCAGTTAATGAGCAGCAGAAGCGGCCTAGTCTTGGCTTTGATAGTAAAGTCTATGAAAGACACGATGTTAGAACAAACAAGGTTGGTTTTCTGTTATCTGTATTAATAACAGAATTGTTTATTAGATTGCATGCAAGTTTATATGCATTTAGTTGCATGTGACTCGCAAGAGATCATTTTTTGTCATCACCGTGGTTGAGTGAGAGATACTTATGATGATTGAGTACCTTTCTGAATGCTTATCCTATTCACTCAAAAGCCCTTAAGATTTTCACTAGTTAATCCACTTGTACCAGGTATTGTAACTTGCTTACTGTTTTGATTTTCGCCGTTTTTCAACATCTTGTCTCTGTTGTTAGCATGAAACATGAAATAAAGTGTTTAGTAACTTCACAACCATATAATCGTGTTGGAACTAGTTTTGACATCCTCAGCTTGAGTGATTATTCATTTGTATTCTTATGTTTCGATTCAATTCGCCGTATTTTTGTTGTTTATTCCACTTTTGTCCTTTTTCCTCTCTGGTTTTGAAGATTATATGTTTGAATGCTCAGTTAATGCAAATTCAGATTGTAGAATGTGTTCCTTTAATTCATAGAAAACATGTTACTGCCTCCATTATCAAATATAAGTAACTAATGAAGCTAGTCACACATATTAGGAAACAGTTTAGTGTCTAAACCAGTATTTTATCTTTTCTATTTTGCCTCCAATAAAGATATGTAGTTGGCCCAATGGTTATTACTCTTCATTGGAAAATGGAGAGTCCAGTGGTTATTTATGGGGGGCATTTTTGTAAAAATCAAGTGAAACATTTATGGAAGTTTGCAATGTTTCTTATTTCTGATAGCAAAGGATTCTCTTAATTTATTGCTTATATTTGATAATAAGGGAGTATTTTTAAAATATAATCTTAAAACTGCTTGTTCTGCTAGATAAGAATTTTGTTTACTGCTTGGTTGCTTTTCTTAGAGTCTTTGATTTTAATTTAGCTCCTTTCCAGGCTATGACAAGGGCCTTCCATGAATATCCATTTCTCCCAAACCACTCCAGTATTAGATCTGATGCTTATGGACAATTGACACAATCTCATTTACTTGATCCGATGGATGGTCCAGCCAGAACTCCGTCTTTTGTAGTAAAAAATGAACAGCTTCCCAGGATTCATGCTGCCCAAGGCCATTCGTCACGTGTTCGTGTTTCATCTCTACAAGATAAGCAAGGGCTTCCCTTTCCGTCGCCCTCTCGTGATGATGATGGCCCTTCTCAAAGGGAATCTTACCCAAACCTAAATATTGGAATGAACTCTCACTTTACTGATCACCCAATTGTTGGACCAGAAAACCCTTATGGGGTAGTTGGTGGACAAATCTTCCCTAGCGATGCAATATTACGGGTTGACAGGAAACGAAAGGTATTCTTTATTGAGCATCGTTTTTATGTTTTATTTCTCCAAACAGTCTTTGCCGAGAATTTATAATTATAAACTTTATGCAGAGTGATGATTCTAGAACTGCAAGAGAAGCTGAAGCCCATGAGATGAGGATCCAGAAGGAGATAGAGAAACAAGATAACATTAGGCGAAAGGTTGTTTTTGAAATGAAGTGTGAAATTTATGAATAGATGTTGAATATGCTTGATCTGATTCCCTTTTGTTCTTCCTCTCGGTTTTAGAATGAAGAGAGAATGAGGAAAGAGATGGAGAGGCAAGATCGTGAAAGAAGGAAGGAAGAAGAGAGGCTGATGCGTGAGAGACAGAGAGAAGAAGAAAGAACAAAGCGTGAGCAAAGACGTGAAATTGAACGAAGGGAAAAGTTTCTGATGAAGGAAAATTTAAGAGTAAGTCTGTTTGTGAGCCTTGTAGCATGATCATCTGTTAGCTAATATTGAAACCTTTGAGGATATGTAATGTATCCTACTGACATGTATCATGGTCTATCTGTTGAAAGGCTGAGAAAAGGAGGCAAAAAGAAGAGCTTCGAAAAGAGAAAGAAGCAGAGAGAAGAAAAGCTGCTCTTGAGAAGGCAGTTGCCCGCAGAATAGCTAAAGAATCTATGGAGCTTATTGAGGATGAACAACTGGAATTGATGGAGTTGGCCGTAGCAAGCAAGGGACTTCCCTCAATTATAAATCTTGATCTTGACACCTTGCAAAACCTTGATATGTTTCGGGGTGAGCAATATAATTTTAAATTGTCTAATTAGCACAATTTGGTTTGGGGTGAAGGCGAATGAGGTCCCAATACTGATACTCATTTGTTTACTGTAGATTCATTGTGCACTTTTCCACCCAAGAGTGTAAAGCTGAAAAAACCATTTGCCATCCAACCCTGGATCAAATCTGAGGAGCATGTTGGCAACCTTCTCATGGTTTGTCCTTATTATCACTTTTACTTGTTTGAAGCGTTAATTGTGGTTTAGCATTTAAGCTTTAGTTATTTAATTAACAATTCTTATAGTCTTAGATTAATTTTGTATTTATTCGTGATCCTTTTTGAGCAGTGGCTCTTTCGGCATGTAGTCTTGTGTACCCTGAAAATAATAAAATATTCTTCGGTTGCCTTGCTGTTATGTCTGGGTTTCTGGATGCGCTGCTTTCTCTAGCTCATGTTATCTTTTTAGTTTTATTTATTATTTAGACAATAGATTGATTTGTGACTTCCGAGTTCAAGGTTTTAAAGCTTTGGTGGTATATTACAGGTTTGGAGATTTCTGATTACATTTGCGGATGTCCTTGAGTTGTGGCCTTTTACTCTTGATGAATTTTTGCAGGCATTTCATGACTATGTGAGTCCATATGTTTTGAGCTGTTAAAATGAATTGTTCTATGCATTTTTTCCCTTCCCTTTTCACTTTGTGGGTTCAATCTGCAAACCGTTGGATCTCAGGATTCAAGATTATTTGGTGAGATACATGTTGCTCTTCTCAAGGTGATAATAAAGGACATCGAAGATGTTGCAAGGACACCTACAGGATTAGGTACTAACCAGAATGGGGCTGCTAATCCTGGTGGTGGCCATCCAGAGATTGTGGAAGGGGTAAGTCTATATATTTCCAAAATATTCTGTACTTTTTAGTCAATCAGTAGGTTTTTTCAATGTAATGTTGTTTTAATTTATTTATTTTTAAATATTAGGCGTATGCCTGGGGCTTTGATATAAGAAATTGGCAGAAGCACTTGAATCAATCAACATGGCCAGAAATTTTCCGACAGTTAGCATTGTCTGCAGGGTTTGGACCACGGCTGAAAAAAAGAAATATCACATGGTCATATGCAAATGATAAAGATGAGGTTCATCATTCTTCTTTATGATAATTGACTTCGTTAATTTCAGGACTTCTGGTATTTCCTATGTTACGTTAATACTCCATTGTTTTAATTCCAAATTTGAGGGGAGCACACTATTTTGGATATTGCTTCTCTTTGTTGCAGTCTTGAGATTTTTTATGTTCAATTTGAATCTTGGGACGAGAGCATTTCTGTTGCCATTGAATGGTTGGCTGAGCAATTTGTCTGCATCTATTTATCAACAATTGAACTTTTTCCTTTTTATTTTTTATTTTTTATTGTGTTTCACGGACTAAATGAGGAATGATTCTATGTGTTACAGCAGGGTAGAAGTTGTGAAGACATCATCTCCACTCTTCGCAATGGTTCAGCAGCTGAAAATGCTGTGGCAAAAATGCAAGAGAAAGGTCTGTTAGCCCCTCGGAGAAATAGGCACCGGTTGACTCCTGGAACGGTCAAGTTTGCAGCATTTCATGTTTTGTCTCTCGAGGGTGGCAAGGGCTTGACTGTACTAGAGCTTGCAGAGAAAATTCAGGTGAATTGTCTCTCTTAATATTTAAATATTCCATTAAGTTATCCTCTTTATTCTTATGCTTTTTTTGTCAGAAATCTGGACTTAGGGACCTGACAACCAGCAAGACACCTGAGGCATCAATTTCTGTTGCTTTGACCAGAGATGCTAAGCTTTTTGAAAGAATAGCTCCCTCAACATATCGAGTTCGAGCTGCATATCGAAAAGATCCTGCTGATGCAGAGGCCATTCTTTCAGATGCTAGAAAGAAAATTCAGATATTTGAAAATGGGTTTCCTGCTGTTGAAGATGCTGATGATGTTGAAAGAGAAGAAGAGTCAGAAAGTGATGAAGTTGATGAGGATCCTGAAGTAGATGATTTAGTAAACCCCCTAAGTGATAACAAAACATCTGAACAGTATGATGACCTGAACAATTGCTCTACAAATGGGGGAGAAAACATGAGCCATGACATGGAACTTGTTCAAAATGAGTTTGGCAAGGATCTTCCTTGCGTTCCTGAGAGTTGTTCTAAAGATGCTGATTGCCCAGGTGCTGTTACTGGACAGCAGGTTATTGAAGATTTGAATACTGCAAATCCTGACGATAACATGGAAATTGATGAAAGCAAGTCTGGAGAGTCATGGGTTCAAGGCCTTACAGAAGGAGAATATTCTGACCTTAGCGTAGAAGAACGTCTTAATGCACTAGTAGCATTAGTTGGTGTTGCGAATGAAGGAAATTCAATACGTCTTGTTCTTGAGGTATATTTTATTCCATATAGTCTTGAATTTGGATTGAAGCTGCATTTATTTACTTGCCCTCTCCTTTTTTCTTTTTAATATATATTGACATGAAGAGCTTTACAGGACCGTTTGGAGGCAGCAAATGCTCTGAAGAAGCAAATGTGGGCAGAAGCACAGATAGATAAAGTTCGGCAGAAAGATGATAATTCTAATAAATCAGATTTTCCATCTCTTGCTGCAAATAAAGTTGAGACACAATATACGGGCCCATCTGCAGAGGGAAACCAGAGCCCATTGCTTGACATCAATATTAATAATAATGAGGCATCACCCAGCACTGCAGAAAATCAAAAGGAAGTTCTGGGTGCACAGAACATGCCTATTGAAAAGCCCTCAGTAGTTCAAGATCTCTTTTTAGGTCCAGACAACCCGCAGATTCTATCTGCACATGCTTCAAAAAGGTCTCGTTCACAGTTGAAGTCTTATATTGCGCATATAGCGGAAGAGATGTATGTATATAGGTCCTTGCCCCTTGGTCAAGATAGGAGACGTAACCGATATTGGCAATTTGTTGCATCCGCTTCCAGCAGTGATCCTGGTGCCGGCAGGGTCTTCATGGAATTGCATGATGGCAGTTGGCGGCTTATTGATTCTGAAGAGGTAAATTGTGTGTTGCTGAATTGTTGGTCTCAGTGGTTGATCCATTCATTTCAGACTAATTACTGGATATGTTGGTTTTAATATGTTTCTCATGTTTCAGTACATGCCTTAGCGACCTGCTTACCACATGGATGCCTACTCATTATTACTTCGTTATGCTTCCAATGTTGAGTCAAATCCAGATTTTTTGAAATTGAGTCCTCAAATGATGGTTCTAATGAAGATAACCACTGGAGATTGAATACCTGCTCTGGCCTTTAAACACGAGAATATTTTTTGTTTTGACACCCCACGGGGGGGAAAAGGAAGAATATTTTTGTTATTCACAAAATTGTATTGCTCTACATTCTTAACTTTTTGGGCACTTAGTCTATTTTTGTGACTCTGAATCTTTGAGCTAGATTGTTATTTTCCTCAGGTTTCAAGGGTTATGTGAACTTGACGTATTCTTGTGCTTTCATCCTAGTTGATGAGATATAATTTTTTCTTCCAACTTTATGCAGGATTTCGATGCGCTCTTGACATCCCTCGATTCACGTGGAATTAGGGAATCTCATTTACGCTTAATGTTGCAGAAGATTGAGAATTCCTTCAAGGAAAATGTTCGAAAGAATGCTCAATTTAATAAAAATGCCACCAGATCAATTAAAAATGAAGCTGATGAAGTAGAATTGGTTCCTGAATGCCGTGCTGGATCAGACAGTTCTAGCAGTAGTCTCTGTGGTTTGAGTTCTGACTGTACATTGGAAACAACTTCATCATTTAAAATTGAGCTGGGGAGAAGTGAGAGTGAAAAAAAAGCTGCCTTGACCAAGTATCAAGATGTTCAAAAGTGGATATGGAAAGAATGTTATAATTCATCAACATTATGTTCATTGAAATATGGGCAAAGGAGATGCAAATCACTTCTGGAAATATGTGATATGTGTTTGAATCCATATTTCTTTGAGGATTCCCATTGTAATTTTTGCCACCATACTTTTGCTACTAATAATGGATTTAATTTTTCTAAACATGCATTTCAATGTGGAGAGAAGTTAGATTCCAAAGGTATTTCTACTTGGGATTGTTCTCTTCCCTTGCGGATAAGGTTGCTCAAGGCCTTCTTGGCTTGTATTGAGGTAAACTGACAATAGCTTAGTGTGTGCTTTTAGTGATTTTCATTTAGACCCGTTATCTCTCCAGTAGTGTATTTTTCCTAATAATTCAGTGGTTATTTTGTTTTGTCATTTTGTATTTCAGGCTTCTGTTCCTCTTGAATCATTGCAATCAATTTGGACAGAAGAGTATAGGAAGCAGTGGGGTGTGAAGCTGAGCAAATCATCTACAACTGATGAACTCTTGCAGGTTTTATGGAATATCATTAAGTGCAAGTTCATCTTGCAAATCCCTGTATCATTTTGACGTTTTTTGTATTTATAAATTGGGCAATGCATTCTGCAGTTATTGACCTTGTTGGAGAGAGCAGTACAGCGAGACTTTCTGTCATCAAACTTCTCCACAACAGAAGAAATGTTGGGATCAAGCTGTATGCCAGATGATGCTGTAAATGCTTCTACAGATACTGAATCAGTTCATGTGCTGCCATGGGTGCCACAAACCACTGCAGCTGTGTCGTTGAGAATCTTTGAATTTGATGCATCCATCAGTTACATACCAGTTGAGAAGCCTGAGCTACCTGTTGAGGAGAAAGAAGTGAGAGAATATGTGGTGAGTTCTTTCTCTCCTTGTTTATGTCTAGCTCATTCACCAAGCAGACTAGATTGAAGGCTCCCTTTATATGCGGGTTCCTTTTGTTATGCTTATATTTGAGTGAGGTGGAAGTTTAGCTGAAAAGCTTTTGTGCTGCTCATATTTAAAGTTATAATCTTGTTCTGGTTTTCTTTTCCGCAGAAGCTTCCTTCAAGATATGCTCCCTTCAAGTCTGGTAGAGCTATTGAATCAGCAGAATTGGACCATGACGAATTCATCAAGGAAGACAAATCTAATAGAAGTGTTCGAAGGAGCAATAAACGTGGACGGGGGTCTCATGATCAGGGCCGGGGCAAGAAGTTGTCTAGAAGAACACAAGAGCCAAAACAACATGCTGGGCGCCGGAATGTTAAAGGCACTGAGAGTTTGGGTGCGGGATTAAAACAGCAGGGGAGAGGGACACAAGGACAACCTGGTGGACGTGGTCGCCGAACTGTCAGGAAAAGGAGAGTGGAAAAAAGGGCTGTTGAGGACTTATTACTTGGCCACAAGGGTGTCGGTCGTAGTCCCAAAATTGGCAGAGGATCATTGAGAAGCTTGGAAGAGGAATGGGATGGCGAGAAGGAAGCAAGTCCTATCCAAATGGATGGTGTTGATAACAGTAACAGTGCTGAGGAAGTGGAATCTGATGACAATGGACAAGCAGTGGAGTATGAGCAAGGAAACTGGGAGGTAGGTTTCAATGGTGGTAGTTCCAACAGATGGGATGGGGATATGGTTGGAGCGAGCGATGAAGAAGTGGTGGGTGCTTCTGAAGATGACAATGGCATTGAGGAGGGAGAAGAGGAGTTGGAAGAAGATTCAGAGGAGGAAGTTATGAGTGAAGGAGAGGATTCAGATGGTGATGCCAATAGAATGATGGTAAATGAAGAGGGCTCAGACTCAGCTGTCTCTGAGGATTCTTCTGATTAGAACATTGGATATTTTAATTGATCAAGTGAAGGGAATTGAATTGCATCCCAAGGCTGCATTGCATTTTTTTAACATTGCCGCTGGATAAGTGCCTGAGAAGTTATCTCATGGCTTGAGGGGGAGAGAGGAGCCAGTAGAATTATGATGTATATGCTCCATGCAAAATGGAGCCCCTGTATTTTTAAATTAGAGTTGAAGTTGAGGGCTTTCGTAGCCCAGCCTCATTTCGATTTTGTTTTCTCATGTCATAGATATTCATTAATTTATAGAAATATAATACCTTCATATATAAGCTCTTCTTTGTGGCCCCAAGCAAATCTTCGGTTGGAAATTATCACGCTTAAAGGGTTACCTTTGTGTGGAGGAAACAAAAGGGTATGCTGCGGGTAATTCGAACTATTCATATGAAAGGTAGTTTGGATTAATGTTATTACGAGGTCATACCGTTGGCAGGATGTAGCATTCAGACTCTGTTGGAGCTTCACCCCATATTTGAAATTCTTAAAAGTCCACATCTTTAGTATTTTTATTCTGTAACTATATTTTCACATATGATAATGAGATGGAAAATCAATATTCTTAATTTATAAAGTGATGATTCTATTTATTGTCTTTATAATTTGCTTGTATAAATACCACCTCGCTAAAAGCATGAGATTGGCAAATTCGAATTAATTGGATTTTTAAACGAAGAAAATCCTTAGAAAAAAAAATTTCATGAAAAAAAAATCATTTCAAAATTCTAAATTAGTTTTGTTTCCTGCATTTTAATAATGATTTAATACATTTAAAAATTAAATCACAATATATTTTTGCTACAATTCTTAATTTGAAATTTTAAAATATTCAAATAATATTTTTTTGGAATTTTTCCAAATTCTTCTTATGTAACATGAAATAGAATTGGAAAGAAATAAAATAAAATAAATTCTGTAGATGCAAATATTATTTAATGTTTTGGTAAAAAATGTTATTTAATGTTTTAAATGAAAAATAAGTATGTAGAAATGGCAGAGATATAATAAAAATATACTCTTAATTTCTTATACAGTAAAAATAGCTCCTCTTTCTCGATAGCACTGCATCTAAATGGGGCCAAAAATTATGTTATCTCCAGCATTGACCTTAATTTTTTTTTTAACCATTTGGATTAATTTAGACAATATGCATAAGTTATGTAAATATTAACTAAGAGTCGGGACCCTTTGCTGATGGGAGAATCTAATTGGTTAATAAACTCTCCAGCATTGAATTTTTTTTTTTTTACCCATTGGACTAATTTAGATAATATGAATAAGGCATGTAAAATCAGCCTAACTCTTCGAGCCATGAGATGAGGCTTTCTCCAATCCTAATTACGCAACTCATTTAAATTATTTTTGCACCAAAAAATATCTAGATTATAAATTCTCAAATCAAGGGAAGGCTGGTCAAATGAAAAGTTTCAAAGACCCACCAAGAGTTCATTAATTTTGATTTCTGTACATGATTTTAGCCCTTTCTGATTAATTATTTTCTGAATCCTATTGATTAAGCATCTATCGATGACTTTTAAATGCAAGTCAATAATAAAAATCCTTTTTTAGCCAGAATAATTGAAATCAAAATGGAATTCATATTACAATCATTAAGGATGATATTTACAATTTATACAGTGATTGAAATTAAAAACTGATGAGAAATACTACATACTGCCATGTCATTAATGTTCTCTCCAATAAAAATGCTTCCAGTGCCTTTCTTGTGAGCTCTACAAATTTCTATCATAATGAGTTATGAAGAAGAAAAAGTAATGAAGAGAAAATGGAGCATTTCCATTAGGGAGAGCATGGATTACATGGCACTCCAAGGGTATATTTCTCCTTAAAATATACAAATAAATCCTTATATATTTATTTTAACTTTCAAATTAAAAAACAGCTAAGAGGAGGGGTAAAATTGTCCCAAGGCCCTCCCGGTCAAATTAATGAGCAACATCTACTTGCACTTGTTGGGTGAGAACAAGTGAATATGACATCACGACAAAGTTTTTTAATGGGTCTTTTATCAGTAAAATCTATATTATTTTTCACGAATAAATGTCGAGTGATTGCTTCTTAGATTAGCAGTATAGCACCATGGTTAGTGCCTGTTTGCATTAAAATCGAAGAAAACTTAATAAAACAAAATCAGATTACACTAGATAGCAGAGAGAGAGAGAGATATATATATATATATATTTTCCCCTTCCTCCCCTTACATAAACACTTTCTTATAAGCAATGACCAACCAAATGGATTTAATTTTTGACTATCTGTTTCGATTTTCACAAATTCAGTTATTCACGTCCAAATGCTTCATCCTGTGCAAGACTGACTCCTTCAATCCTCAATCTAATTTTGCTGGGTTTTATTACTTGTGAAAATGTTTCAACCTAACACACAAACCAGCGACACAGAAAGGCCATCTAACAGGAGATGGAAAAGGAGGAGGAGAAGGTGATGATGATATACACAAGATAGAGAATATTATACACAGCCTCCATTAAGGCACTAAGGTCTCATGGTCCTAAAAGTCTCTTGATTCCAGCTTTCTGCTCCGATGTCAACCTTGTTGGGAATTTGATATTGAACTTAATCCTAAGGTTGCCCCTCCTTGAAGGATCTTTAGCAATTGGCATGCCTTCCTTTGGGACAACCTCTTCATAGGTTGGATGTATTACGTTGTTAATGGGAATGTTCAAAGTCCTACCATCCAGAGTAGTGAGATGCACGGTGTAGCCTGTTAGCGCTTCTGCAAGTGATATCTTTTGTGTCACTATCAGATCATTGCCGTCCCTTGTAAACACACTGTGGGGTTTCTCATCGATGATGAATACCAGATCTGCAGGGGTCACATTTGGCTGCTCGTTTCCTTTCTCCGGGAAGGTGATCTTCGTCCCCTTTTTCCAACCCGGTTTGATTTCAATGGTTAAGATTTCCTCCACTGGTAAAGTTTTTCTGCATAAACATGCCAAATAATAAAAATGCAGCTTGCAAATGCAATAGAACAAGTGGAAGAACAAAAACTAGTTTCCTACATTATCTGAGGCAGCTAGAAAAATCCTGTTACACAGTTAATAATGGCAATCTCATGCTTAACACCAAATCAACTCCAGCATCAATATAGGTTATGGCACAGCGGCTATATTTATAGATACTGGACACAACCCTTATGTGGCCCAATCGGTTTGATGACCTAATAGATGTTTTAAGTTGATCCAATGAATTTGAAAATTTCCAGTCAACTTGTACTAGACATTTGACAGTTTCTTCCAATGCCATGGTGAAAATTTTGTCAACCAATGAACCAAAAGAAAAGGAGGAAATAGAAAGGAGCTGGAGGAATATACAGTTCAGACACTGCAGTACAACCAACCCCACGCATGCTGCTTGAAAAAAAATCATAACCTCTACTTATCAAAGCTAGAAAGTCAAGAGTCAAGACATTAACCAATGCCCAAAGCGAAGATAATAATTTGTGAGTTCAGACCACTAAAACGAAAATTCAACATTCAAAACTTTGGTTTCATTATTATTCAGTCTGGTCATGAAAGGAAGTTTGGCCACGCTTTGCGTAAAAGCTGCAGTGAGATTGGAAGGATGAGTAAATGATACTTACCCGCTTGCATCTACAAGTTCCCTTGAGATCTTCATCTTCTTGGTAGTCCCCTTATAGAGCTCCTCAAGGCTGCAAGGCAATGTGTTTTCAATAGGAGGCGCCTTCCGTGGACCTTGACTCATAGGCCTGCCTTCTCCAAATGAGCTGAATATATCATCCCCAAACATTCCACCAAAGGACCTTGAGCCGCCTCTCATGCCGCCTCCGCCGCCCATTCCACCAAATGGACTTGAAAACCCGAAAAATTCAGCAAAAATGTCGTCTGCATTTCTGGGGTTAAACCTAAAAGTTGTTGGACCATTTCCAGGATGGAAGAATGAAGCCCCACCAGCATCTGGAGGTGGCACCTGCCCTTTGAGCCCTTCTTCTCCATACTGATCATAAACTGCTCTCTTCTGGGGATCACTTAGAACCTGCACAAGATCAATGTACAAAGTGAGACCCTTCATCAAACACAGTTACAGATCCTGGACAACATAAAATTTTAAATGTGTCAAGCTGATAATAGCTTGGGCAAGGAATAGCCCAAACAAAGTCCAAAAATACCTGATCACATAAAAACATGGCAAAAGAGAGAGACACTCACTGAGATTGAAAATTTAGAAAATCTCGATAGCATCGTCAAACTTCTGGCAACCGTTATTAAAGTGAAGGAATCACTTGATAAATGGACGAGCTAACACAGATTGAATAGCGTCTACAAATAGTTGACTAGTGTTCTTAAAGTGAAGGAAGTAATTGATAATTAGCTTTACCTCGTAGGCTTCTGAGACTTGTTTGAATTTGGCCTCGGCCTCTTTCTTATTGTTTGGGTTCTTATCAGGGTGCCATTTCATGGCAAGCTTTCGGTAAGCTTTCTTCAAGTCTTCATCGGTGGCATTCTTGTCAACCTGCAGAACCTTATAATAGTCCACACCCATACTCGTTCGTCTCCAGAAGGCTAGAACTTCGGAGTTAGATTCTGTAAATACTTAGATTTTCCCTTCAAGGGAGTCTTCCCTCAAGCTTCGCTTCTGTTCGTTTGCCAGTAAGTGCGATGGATAACAGGAAACGGTAGAGAGAGTTAAAGCTATACCCCGATTAGCGAAGGAAAAAGATCTGTCTGGAAGGTGCGCATTTCTCCAAAACGACCAGAAAAATGTGGAACTTTCGAGAGGAGATGAATATAAACTGTTTCGGGCCGGGACATGTCTTGCGCGGTAAATTAACTAATCCGGATGCAATACGGTTATCGCCTCAGTCCTCAAAACGGCAACAATTACGCGTCGTTTAGTGATCTCCTTTAACGGACCCGTCCTCCGTTGCAAAAGAAAGCCATCGTTTTCTTTTATATTTTTAGGATGAGATATAAACTAGAAAGTCACCCGTTTTGTGTCTGGAAAATTTCTGCCCCTATCTGCAATCTTCATGTTTGTTCCAAGTTTGAAAAAAAAAAATTTCCTAAGATTACGAGCAATGGGATAAAAGGTTGCATTTTTTCAAAATAATTAAGTTCTCATAAAAATTGCATTATTAACATTCCTAATGTAATGCATCCATGCCCCATATCCTGTCATTGTCCCATTCAATGAATATTAGTTTTTTTTTTTTGCCTTACTGTAATACTAATAGCTGGGAAAATTTTGTTTTGACAACACCTGCACCTTCGCCCTCTTATTGAACTCTCGGAATTAATATGCTATATGCAGTTATGATCATTACTGTATTGTTTTTTAAGTACAAAATTATATACGACGGTGCAAGATTTTCTGGTAAAGAAATGGTTGTGTTAAATATTCTAGTCATCTTTCAAATGACGGTTAAGAAAAATGTCATCTTTCAAATAAAGGTTTAGTTTTCTTCAACTAGGAATTCGCATTAGATGTTTGTGTTGCTCCTTCTTGTAATGAAGAATCATCATGAGGTTACAAAATCAAGATAAAACTACCAAGGAAAATCTACACGAGACATCATCTGGGTTCTCAGGCTAAGAATATCGTAAATATGTTATATTCCCAGATATCTTTACACCACTTTCAAGTCTTCATCTATGGCATACTTGTCAACCTGCAAAGCTTAAAAGGAGATACATGAGAAAAATATATAAATATTTAATAAAATTCAAAGCTACACTTGTATGTGATTTGTGAGGGATGTGTAGAACAATTCTGCTGCTCAAGTATAATGCATTATGCAAGCTCCTTTTTAGAACAATATAAAACAACTTCTGAGATTATATATCCGTGGCATAAAATCATTAGCATTGAAGAGATGTCAGCATTTAATACAGGCACATATATACATCTAGACAGAACCACTTGTTGTTCAAGCTTAAAAGGTTAAATTTAGATGTCAATGATGGAATTGAATCAGATGGTGTGGACCACTGGAACAAAACTGGCACCCGGCAAGTATTGATGGCCCAGATCTTTGAAATCTTTGAAACATGTTAGCCTGAGTTTTACAAGTTCAATTTTGTTTTGAACTAACTAACCGCTCCTTGTTCGCGCTAAAATATATGTATGTAATGCTCAAAGCAGAAGATGCATTGAAAATGAAAAATGTTTGCGATGAAAGCCTACAGCCTGAGGTCAAACTAGCAGCATGAATTTTCATTGGACCGCTCATGATGCGAGCAATCCTCTGCTCAAGCGTGTGGGTTTTCCGCCCATTTTCATTGTCAGTAACAGTGGTATACTGACACGTCAGAAATCAGAATTTGAGTTTGCTGTTGTATAACTATTCTTCAAGTCAACAAAATAAGAGACAGAAGGACCTAAATTATAACAAGATTCCATCATGAGGTCAGACAGTGTTTATGTTTTCGTCTCCAGAGTTAATGCAAGTATCAATGAATGAAAATGCTTAAACCCCTAAGACTTGGGTGCAATCACATGCGCACACAGATTATGCCTAAGGTACTCTCTCTAGCATACGTACGTGGTGGGTTCTTGTCACATCAACACAATTATTTACTTTGTTTCATTAACCATTTATACAAAATTGAAGTTGTAGATAACATCGATTATTTACTGTTAAAACGAACCTTTGACTTCAGTCTACCATTAAATAGTTTTGATGATTACAAAGAATCTTAAATCATTTCAATCTGATTTACCAAGAGATTGTGGCTAATCAAAATATCTGTTTTGATTGTAGTTCAAATCAAAATATCTGATTTGAATGAGCTGTGCCATGAGTAATTGAATGAGTTGTAGGTGAACTTGTTATAAAACTTACAAAAGTTGTGGTTAGTTGGTTATAGTGGAAAAATCTCTTGAAAGTTTCAAGGGAATTGGAAGGATAACTTGACTGTGTTCATTTTTCTACTCTTACTTTAATTTCCATCATCTATACACAAACACACACTATCATTTACTGATCTTGGAAATATTAGTCTTGCCTCGGGTTATTCAGGCACAATAGTTTGTTGAGTATGCCATTAGGATTTATAACGTTGTAGGGAGGGAAAATTTGCATTTCAGAAGTTACATTTCCAGTTTCTGTTTCCAGTATTTATTCAGAGCACATGCAAGGGGATCACTACAGCAGAACTATCTATTGGATATGCAAACAAAGCATGCCAATCATGTGGATAGCATCAAGAAAATGTCCTCCGTCAGAAGCAAATTTTATGTTTCTGATTGCAAGCTTGTACCTTAATCTCCATATCAAGCCACTAGACATGTAACAACCAAGACTGTGTTTTCTTCTTTCAAGTTCAAGAAAGGAGAACCAGGATCCAAGACGCTATAAAAACATCACTCGGACAGAACAATTTAGTCTCATTTACAAGGCCAAACCATAAATTGCAAGTCACGGTAATGTTGTTATATAACCAGGTAAACTATCCTGTTTAATTTATTTCAACAACTAAAATTATGCCACATGCCTACATATGATAAAAAAAACCGATTACTAAAACATATTGCAGCAAATTAGCAAACAGTACACGGGCGTTTATTCGTACTGGGAACACCCCGTGTGGACTGAACAATCAAATCTCCCCAAAGAAATAAAGGCATAGATTTATCGTGAATTACCAGGTGAAACGAGCGTATTACGACGTCGCCTACTTCTTCTTGCCTCCCTTGGGAGAAATTCCCCTACGCCTAGAGGGAAGGACAATCTCTCCTTTGAGGACTGGAATCTCCATAATCTGAGACAGCTCACCGAACTTCTTCCTGAACTTCTCTACTTGGTCGGCGTCCACCAAGACGCCGGATCGGTTGCCGAGGTAGAATGGGTGGTTGCCGGACCAAACATCGACCGCATACTCCTTCTGAGTACCTCCAGTAGTCATCACCAGCTCTCCATTGCAGTACACCTTCGCGTCCTCGTAGAACTGTGGGTGTATGTCCTTCTTCCTGCATGTCACGGAAGTTACTCGTGTGCTCCCCACCTGAAAGAGTTCAAGGATTTTCCGAGTAAGGGACAGAACAGAATTTCAGAATACAAAGCAGAAAAGAGGAAGAAGGACTCTGAAAGAACTCGCCATTACATTGCTGGTGGGGAGAGGCCGAACTGGAACGACAGGTTTTCCCCGCAGAAAGGTGTTTGTTAGTAGAGCCTGCGCCATTTTTCCGCTTCGGATGAGAAGGGTGAGATTATGTGGTCTCCAGACACCAAGGCCACCTGTGTTATTCTCGCCGGTGCATTTATATTTTTACATTAATTATTAATTAATAATTAACAAATAGGGAAAATCACAAATAAAGACCCTGAATATACAAAATCACAATTTAGGTCCTTGAATTTATATAATGCTTGTCAGAGAGCCGGTCCCAAATAAGAATTATGAAATGTTGGTTAAAATACCCTTTTACTTTCTTCAATCCTCTGCCCACATGCTCTTTTTTTTTTTTAATACTCCCCGACTCATCTTCCTCTTCCTTTCTTATGTTAATAATGGGGAAGACGGTTCGCAATTGAATGAAGGAAGGCAACATGAGGGAATGAGCGACAGCAAGGATGACAAGTGATTGTTTCGGGTTCAATTTTCCCTCCCCGAGTCGTCTCCCTCTTCCTTACTAGGGCCCCTCGTGGCTGCCATGGATGCTATGAGAGCAGAGTCATCCCGTCATCGTCATGTTGCTACTACTAGTCCCCCCTTAATTTCATTGTAGCAAGATCGATTAACTTGAACAAGAGGTAATAGTTCATTACCCATACTTTGTTCAAAACTTTGATCCTTTTATTTTTGTAATCCACGGAAGATGTCATTTAATTGCGGGTTTCACCAAGGGGAATGGGTTTTCTGCTTCATCTTGTTGCACCTAGTATTCATGCGTAAGTTTGCTGCTTATGATTCCCTGGTTTCACCGGGGGGAATGGGTTTGGTGGTTCATGATTTTCTGTTTGAAGCTTATTGTGTGAGGAAAAAACCCCTTGGAGTTCGGTGAATGGCTGGCTTTTCTCAATTATCTGCAATCGCGTCTTTTTTCCCTAGGTCTGTTTGGTTTGAGGGGGGAAGGGGAGGGAAGAGGAGGGAGGGGGAGGGGAGGTTTTATCCTCACCTTGTTTGGTTTGATTAAATTTGGTTTGATTAAAAAGGAAGGGAGGGGAGGGTATTTAATGATCCCTTGTTTGGTTCAAGGAGGGGAGGGATAGTAATAATCAATTTACCATTTTACCCTTACATATTAGTTATATTTTTATTGATTTATATAAAATTAATTTACATCTTAATTTAAATTATATACTTAATAAAAATTCAATCTTATCATGTTAATATGTGTATTAAAAAATTGGTAGTATAGTAATTTTTATTCTAATTAATATAATAATATATTTAAAATAATCAAATTAACAAATTTTATATGTTCTAAGAAAATGAAATTTTATTTCTTTAAGCTATCTTTTTTTCAGCTTTAAAATATATTTAATAAATAATATATTTATAAAAAACAATTAATTTTATATATTATAATTTTTTATTAAATAATTTTTTATTTTTAAATAATTTTTATAATATATTTTTAATTATAATAAGTATATATTTTTTATTTTTTTACTTAGGATAATATATTTTTATTTGAAATAAATATTATAATAATATATTTTATGGATAGAAGTGAAATATTAAAAAAAACATAAGGGCATAATAGTCTAAAATTTTGGCTCCCCTCCAAAAACCCCCAATTTGGAGGGGAGCCAAAATGGGGGAGGGGAGGGAGGGGACATTTTAGCTCCCCTCCCCTCCAAAAATTTTAACCAAATGAGGGAGGGGCTCCCCTCCCTCCTCCCCTCCCCTCCCTCCAACCAACACACCCCAAGACAACTCTTGAGTAATAATTTCATTTTTGAACAGCTGCAAGGCTAGCTGATGAGACGACTCTCGTGGTAATGAAAATATTAAGCTCTTCTTTGTTGTTTTCTTTAAAAACTTTCTTTAGATTATGTAGTTCATTGATATCCTCTATGACATTTGGTGTTATTGTTTTTACTTCAGCATCTTTTGTTTATTTCAAACAAGGTCCCTTGGTAAGGCTGCTAGCATGTTTTTTGGGACACAAAAGAAATGTGCTACCTGCAGCAAAACTGCTTATCCAATGGAGAAGGTACAGTTCTAGATTTTCCAGAAGCAAATTCTGTGATGATATTTGATTTAGGTTATGTTTTTGTTATGATATGTGAGCAACAGAAAAAATGGTATTCATATTACAAATTGATGTTTAAAGGATGTAGGCAGTTAACTACTCAGTGTTGCTTATTTATCATGATCACCATGAACATGTTTAAACTAAAAGGCTCGAGTGCTGATGTGATATATTAATTCTGAAAACAATAAATATAAGGAAGTGGTGACACTGGTGTTCAACTCAGTGAGTAAGATCACAACCAACTCTTTCTTCACTGAAAGTCAGTAACTAAATATATTTTGTGCTTTACCGAAATGAACAAACCCCGTATCGTCGTAGTCATGTTGAACTAAAATGTCCTAGTTTATTTGTCATCATTTATAAAAGGCAATTATTCTGGGTGTAGGTAATCGCGGAGGGTCAAGCCTTTCAAGTGTTCACATGGTGGCTATCGTATATCACCATCAAATTATGCTGCTCTTGATGGTTTTGCTTTAAATGTTCAAGGCGGCTATTCCATGTTATGTTTTCTAATGTAATAAAGCGAGAAAACTGACAAGAAACAGGATAAAAAGTGTTACTATGATGATTATGGCAATGACTTTTGTTTTGATGATGGTGAAGAATGTTATTACGAAGAATATTTTATTTGTATTATAAAAGTAGTTATTATTATAGGCATGCTAGTTTTTTGTTATTAGCCATAAGAACGTTGTTATTTTTAATATAAATGTTGTTATTAGTATACTAGTGATGATGAATATTTTATTTGGATTGCAAAAAGTTGTTATTTCACTAACGTCTTGTTATTTTTAAACATAAACTTGTTATTTCTAATTATGAATTTGTTTTTTTATATCAAATTTGTCAATTCGTCATATTCAACTTGTTGTTTCCCAACAGTTTACCAAACTTGTCATTTTCAATTATAAACTTGTTATTTTCTATACAAAATTTATCAATTTGTCATCCTTAACTTGTTATTCCCAACTGCTTAATAAACTTGTTATTTTTAGTTATAAAATTATTATTTCCTATACAAAATTTGTCAATCTATCATACTCAACCTCTTATTCCCAACTATTTAGCAAAGTTGTTATTTCTAATTGTGAATTTATTATTTTTCATACAAAACTTGTCAATTCGTCATATTTAACTTGTTATTTCTAATTATAAACTTGTTATTTTCTATATATAACTTATCAATTCGTTATACTCAACTTGTTATTTCTAACTACTTAATCAACTTGTTATTTCTAATTATAAACTTGTTATTTTCTATACAAAACTTGTTAATTTATCATACTCAATTTGTTATTTTCAACTACTTAACAAACTTGTTATTTCTAATTATGAAATTGTTATTTCCTATAAAAAAAACTTATCAATTCGTCATACTCAACTTGTTATTTTTAATTACTTAACAAATTTGTTATTTCTAATTATACACTTGTTATTTTTTATACAAAACTTATAAGTCCCTTGTACTAAATTTTTTATTTCCAACTATTTAACAAACTTGTCATTTCTAATTGTTATTTTATATACAAAACTTGTCAATTTATCATACTAAACTTGTTATTCCCAACTATTTAATAAACTTGTTATTTCTAATTATGAACTTGTTATTTCCTATACAAAACGTGCTAATTTGTCATACTCAACTTGTTATTCCTAACAACTTACCAAACTTGTTACTTTTAATCATAAACTTGTTATTTTTTATATAAAACTTGTAAATTCATCATACCCAACTTGTTATTTCTAACTACTTAACAACCATATTATTTCTATTTATGAACTTGCTATTTCCTCCACAAAATTTATCAATTTGTCCACACTTCAAAAACTTCTCAACAAAATAAAGCTTATCATCAAACTTGCTCACTGCCAATGATCACGCCTACACGACCAAATTTAACCTTAAAATCAAACATTATTATTCATGGTCTTCCTTCCTTTGCCTTGTCACCTTCTTTGTCTCGTATAAACTTCCTTCCTTTGACTTGAAGGACGAGTAATCATTTATGACCAAAGAGAAAGAACAAATCAAAAAATATTAAAGGGACATCCTCTGCATTCAACTTCATCTCTGCTTACAAAACTCGGGAAGAAAAAAACAAAGACGAGCATATTCAAATCCCCCTCTTTAGATATAGCAAGGAACTAATCAATGAATCCAAAGGACAAACAAGAAAGCTCGATTCTTATGGAGGAAAGCACACCCCCAAAATCCATGAAGGAACAGAGATGGCCTTGAAGCAACAAAAAAAATCATGGGGTTTTGATCGGTTCAAAAGATGAAAGAAGAGTGAATTAGAAGATGAAACACTTTCATCTCAAGCTACGATAGTGAATTAGAAGATTAAACACTTTCATCTCAAGCTAATATACATGGAGAGCATCTGCCGCGAAATGAGAGCGATTCCTTCCCGTTAGCAGCACTTGCCGTCGTCGCTGCAACCATCTTCGACTTCAACGCAGAACTCGGTGACAAAGTGGAACCCAATTCCTTGCCGAAGCTAGGCTTCAACAATATCCAGCAGGAATTTTGTTGAGCTTAATTATTGTTTCCCTTGGCATCCTTCTTCTAAGTCCTGTTATTCACTTGTTTTGGGAGAAGGAACAAAGAAGATGACAGAGGGAAAAGAGAGAATGAGAGAAGTTGGGGGAGATGGGGTTAAAGACAAGGAAGTGGGACTGGAGAAGAAGGAGAAGGAAGGGAAATGAGATGAGGAGGAGGAAAAAGAAGCACGGAGAGAAGGATAGAGGGGAAGAAAAGGAAAGAGAAGGAGAGGATAAGATGAAAAAAAGACAAGGAGAAGCAGAAGGGTATTTTTTACTTTTAATCAACATTTCATAATTCTTATTTGGGATTGGGTCTCTGACAAGCATTATATAAATTCAAGGACCCAAATTGTGATTTTGTATATTCCAGGGTCTTTATTTACGATTTTCCTAACAAATATATATACTAATATAAATATCTTACGATAATTGTAAACATATTAGTCCTAATTTGAATTGATTAAAAAATTTATTAAATTAATTATTTATAATAAATAAGTTTTGTTAAATATATTTACTAATCATATATATTAGTTAAAACTATCATTAATAAAATATTTAATATATATAATTATTATAAAAATTATTTAAAAAATTATAAATAAGAGTGACAAAATTAAAAGTGAAATTAATTATTAATTACTGTAGGTAGTACATATTAAAGACTAAGGGCCTGTTGGTTTGAGGGGAGGGAAGGGGAGGAGGGGTAGGAAAGGGGAGGGGAGGTTTTATCCTCACTTTGTTTGGTTTGATTAAAAAGGAGGGGAGGGGAGGGTATTTAATGATCCCTTGTTTGGTTCAAGGAGGGGAGGGGAGGGATAGTAATAATTAATTTACCATTTTACCCTTACATATTAGTTTATGTTTTTTATTGATATATTATATAAATTAATTTACATCTTAATTTAAATTATATAATTTAATAAAAATTCAGTCTTATCATGTTAATATGTGTATTAAAAAATTGGTATAGTAATTTTTTATTCTAATTAATATAATAATATATTTAAAATAATCAAATTAACAAATTTTATATGCTCTAAGAAAAATGAAATTTTATTTTCTTTAGGCTATCTTTTTTTCCAACTTTAAAATATATTTAATAAATAATATTTATAAAAAATTAATTTTATATATTATAATTTTTTATTTAAATAATTTTTTATTTTTAAATAATTTTTAAAATATTTTTAATTATAATAATGTATATATTTTTATTTTTTACTTAGGATAATATATTTTTATTTGAAATAAATATTATAATAATATATTTTATGGGTAGAAGTGGAATATTAAAAAAACCATAAGAGCATAATGGTCCAAAATTTTGACTCCCCTCCAAAAACCCCCAATTTAGAGGGAAGCCAAAATAGGAGAGGGGAGTCCAAAATTTTTAACCAAATAAAAGGAGTGGCTCATTTTCCCTCCCCTCCCTTCCAACCAAACACCCTAAAAGTTCTTATTTTTGTTGGCACTTTGCAATTCCTTCAAGTCTTTGATGTGATATTCGCCTGCAAAGAGTTTGTCTGACTGGGATTTATTGATGATCGATGCATCTTATGTTTTATAGCGCAGTATAGATTTCACAGGGAAGACCTCTGAAGGTTGAGAGTGGAGACTGCGGAAATGTATCGCTTCGCATTTCTGCTTCTTACTATATCGGCAACACTCTTTCCTCTCCTCAGCATCACGTTTTCAGCTGAACCAGTTGACGATTTCATCTCCCAATTGCATCAAGCCAAGTTCCGAATCGCTCAGTTAGGTAATGGATGATATGCATTACTAATTGCATATTTGTCACTGTTTTTACTCTTCTTCAACGGATGGCTCGGATTCAATCGTTTTTGTAAATGCCTCTAATTTCTACTGGTTTATCTTTTGGATCATCTTTGGGCAGTAGTGTTATGTATGGTCCGCTAATTTGCAAATTGCTTTATATATATATATATATATATATATATATATATTCTCCTGCATAGCTTTGTTCTAAGCCTGCTTGTGAGAATCTAGCAGAAGAAAATAAATAGAGTATGAATCTGCCGTTTTCTTCTTCTCCGGCGTATATTAGCTCCTGCATGCCAATTCTGTGTTGAGAAACCGCTTTCTTTTCTTTGCATATCGTTATGAGAGATAATTGAATGCAGAATCCACTCTTGAAGAAAACAATCAGAAGTTGAGCGAAAGAAGCCTCTATCTCAAAGAATGTGAGAAGCGAATAGATGAAATGTCGGAAAAAATCCATGATCTCCAGTCTACTCTATCTAGCATTAAGGTTGGTCTTCTAGCAGTTCTAAATAACTCGACCTTCATGCTTTAAAAAATTTCCAAATTTTTGTCTGCTTTTGATCATCCCAAAGCCAATTCAACTATTTTTCGTCAGCGTTAGAGCATGATAAGGTAGCAATACCCCCTTAGCTTTCCTTTTTGTTCACGCCTATCTGATTATTTCCCCTTATTTAGGAGACCTAGAGTTCCATGCTCGTCGAATGTATATACCTACCATGGATTAGCCTCCTGTTTTAGTTAGGGAAGTTAGTGAACCCCACTCCCCGAAAAAAAAGAACATTGCAGAAGAAAATTTATTGAAGAGCTGAACAATGGATCCAAAATTCCAAATCAATGGAGACTGAGCGAAAACCTGAAAAATGAAGCCCAACATTTCAAAGTTCCTTTTCAATTGAAACTTCCTTGAAGAGACCTTAAATAGAGGTATGCCAAAAGAACAATAATCTTATCCAGCAACTTATTTATGGATAGGAAAAACACTTAAAAATAAGAGCATTCCATTCCAGCCTAAAACAAACATCATAGGTATCATATCAACCCAAATGAAATCAAATTAATGAAATATCTCCAAATGTGCAGGGCAACACCATGAAATGAATTTTTTCTTACTTTCGCTGTTAGTAAGAATGTTATCTAGACAACCTGCAGGGAGTGCTTTATTCTGACATATGCTCATAGCGATAACTTCCTGCAAATGATATGTTGGTTAATCAGATATTGGCCTGTCTTGCAGGCTGATTCGTTTCATGCTGAGAAGGGACTCAAAGCTCTGGAGGAAGAGGTTTTGGTTTTTCTCTCCCTTTTGTTACTCTGTGTCGTTTTTCTTACATAACTAGTTATGGCATATGAAGCAGCATAGATCACAGAATTTTCTCTTCTAGAATATTTAGAAATTATTAAATTATTTGAGCTGGACTTGATGATATTTAGGTACAACTTCTTTGGGCTAATTCAAGAAAGAACAACTTTGATCTCCATATTTTGGAATCTAAAGCACAAGATGCTGAAAAGAGACTCAAAGAGGTCACTTCAGTAGTTGAAAAGGTTAGACAATTGTATGATGCATATTGAAAATGAAGTCCTTCTATATAGTGAGGAAATAAATGATTTCCCACCAGTCTGGCCCCTAAACATTGAAATCTGCAGTGTAGTTCCACAAAATTTACTAAATCTTGATCATTCATTTGTTTGGCAATGGAGTTTCACCTTTGACAAGGGCTGTGGAGTGGGGGCCTTAAAAAATGTATTCAATGAGAGTGAGCAGAAATATTGCGCAAGAGAAAATCAGTTTTTGTGGGGGGTGTTTGGCTAACCTGAAAATCACTTTTAAGAAGTACTTTCACACAAGTCTAGACAAAACTCCCCTCATATACTTCTTTCACACAAGTCTAGACAAAACTCCTCTGATATACTTATTTCTCATATTGTAAAATCACTTTTAAAACTATAATTTGATCTCCATCCGAACATCCTTTTTGTTTGAAATACATCAAAGAGACCATTCAGGAATATTCAGTCCGTTCAGGAGTATTCTAGCTGATGCTCCAACATTAATTTGGCTTTTGTTTTGCATCATTTTCCGGCAGAGGAGCTTCTGTTGCATGCCATTCTTTCTCTTTTCTTCCATCTAACTTTGGGGTTTGAGATGACCAAAGGGGAAATAGTGGCGTTGGAACTAATTACCAAAGGTGTAGTGTACCTTGCTACCTTGGGGCTTCTAATTTAGCCTTTCCTAGTGAGCCACCTGCTATTGAGTTTTTTAGTTCTGGTAGGATTGATGAGTGAAATGGAATGCATAAAATAGTATTTGTGCTGCAAGAAAAGTTGGAGGGGATTAAGATTTAAGAATGCCGGCAATCCCTTTCATATGCAGCGTGTAAAACATGGTTTCTCAAAAAGGGGTCAGCTATTGTGATTGTGCCATTATGATATTTCTTGTTTTCATTCAGTTTAGCGTTTCTTCCTATCTACATTAACTAGCTGTTATTGTTTCACTCTTCCATTCAGATAGGTGACATAGTGACAGAGCAGTGGATTCAAGTTCAGCATCTTGAGCAGGCTCTTCATATTACTGAAGTAATGTTCATTTCATAGTTTCTAATTGGAAACCTTGATAAATAATCATTACCTTGTCCTGTTTTGGATTCTCTAAAATTTGTTATTGTCCTTGTTTATGTATGTCTGTATATGCAAAGATGAGGACAATGAAGGCTCGAAGGTTAGGAGGCTTTACAAGGTGCACATTCTTCAAGGTATTTTTTATTTTTTTATTTTTAAATAACTAACTTGTTCACCTCAATCACCTTACATATTTATTTGTCCTCAAGTTCTTCAACAGCATTCTTGACGATTTCCGGGCAGTACAATCATATCTGTTTGGTGACAGGAGTACAACCAATTCTCTCATCTCACAGGCTACGAATCAGATGAAGAGATGTTTTTTATTGGCCAAAACCTATCACCACCAGGTCTGCATGATAATATCATATTTATCTCCATGTATGCATGTTATGTAGCTTCAAGCTTTCATCAAGTTTACATGTTTTCAGGCTAGGTGTGTGCACTAACAAATTCTTTGCCGCATGCATGTTATGTAGCTTCAAGCTTTCATCAAGGATTTGATGAAAAGACATAAACTGACTGCAGCGTTTGCGAATGATGAATTAGTTTTCTTCCTGGTATGATTTAGATATCCTTTACCACCCAATTTGAAAATTATAGATAATTCACTAGAACATCTCTGCAGATCTTTGTCATTTCTTATGATATCACCCTTTGATCAAGTTTACGTGTTTTCAGGCTTCTGCTCTAATTACCTTTCCAGTGATGAGTGCCTGGATGTTGCTCTCATCTAGAACTTAAGAGCACCAAGCACACAATACTGCCTTCCAAAGGAGAGTGTCCTCCATGCTGCTTTGAGTGATAACCTTCTCCCAACTCGTGCTAGGAGGACTAAGTGGTAGATCGATCTAATTTTGATATTTAATAGTAGATAGTAGCGGCAAATGATTCGCTGGGTTTGAATTTTGATAGCTGAATTTTTTTTGTTGGGGGTCAATTTGTATGATTTAATCCTCGGCCAAGATAGCTGAATTTTGATTAGTGAAGCTTAACTGCTCTAGTCGAATAATATGAAACCCAAATTATGTTTATCTTCTTGAAAGATGCGAACTACATGTTATTAGTCTGTCTTGTCGGCATCATCTTCGTTTTCTGCTATTTTTAAGGTGATAAATGAATTATGGTACAATCTTATAATAAATAGATAAATAATTGAGGGTAAAAAAAATAGAGTGAATTTTATGGACTCACTTCTCTTTTTTTTTTTTTAAAAAAAAAATGATGATGAACTTTATTAAACCACATGAAAGGATCTGTTAAACTTGGCATCACCAAAGCAAAAACCAACGAGAGAATCCAAACTTAAACGAGTATATAAGCGAAGCTAACAAAGCATCACAGATTCAACGCAGACGCAGGGTGAAGATCAGAGCTGAGGATTCAAATTATGTCCAGCTTCTTATCCTATCAACGAGGATACAGGTACCACCCATCTCCTTGAGTGCCTTCTACAGTGAAGGTATTCCGTAGGATATAGAAATGGCCACTGATGACAAGAACCGAAGCTTAACAAGGAGATAAGTGCGCTTCTCATTCTTTTACATTGCTCTTGTCTACTTGCCTGAGAAATTGACAATGGAAAGCTCGAAGAAACCAGAAGTTAATCCAAGCTTTATTAACCTGAAAACCGAGAAGCATAAGCAAGACCTGCAAACGAACTAGAAAAAATTACAAAGAGACCAAAAGCCGAGTAGCCTAACAAAGAAAAGGACGACTTGAAAAAACCCAGAAGTCAATCCAACCAAATTTTTTATGTGATATGTGGATCATGGATGCTTGGTCTGTTTTTGGTAAAATGTAGTAGCGGGTTAGCATTCAAGTTCTGTAGTTTTCTCGTTTGAGAGGATTTGAACTGACCGTGCCTCCCGCGCTACCTCGACCTTATTGCTTAATTTTCAAAGGTGGCAACTTTAGGAACTTTGATTGAACCTTTCTTTCGGGCGATGGATTCTGAATATATTTTAAATTTGAGTTTGATAAATTTGAAATGATGAGGGATATAAAAAGAAGAAAAGAAAATTCTCATGGAAATTTTATTCACTTTATCACTCCTTAAAATACAAAAAACAATTCACAAGCATCTTAACTCTTTTTTTTTTTTTTCAAAAAAACACCTATCCTACACCCCCTCCCCAATAATTTTGCACAACATCTTCTATGGGGCAGGTCTCACAAGACTATAAATAAAATTACTTTCAAAATGATATTAATGCGTTTTTCCCAAAAATATACTCTATTAAAATTTTTATAAAATATTTAAATTACATTATTCCTTCATATATGATGACTATATATTCTTAAAATCAAACATGACCACACCATTTTTAAAAATATGAACTATTAAATCATGTTATTAATTTGTGTAAAATTTTATTATTTATCTGTTTGATGTTTCAAATTTGATGTTTATCTGTCAAATAAACATCAATTTATGCTATAAAAAACATATATAATGTGTGTTATAATCCTAAATTAAAAAAAAAAAAGAAGAGAATTGAGAAACGATGCTGCCGTCAATTTATGCTATAAACCAGGGAGGAAAACAAGTTAAAAAAAATAAAAAATTAGGGTTGTATTCTTAAATGCGCCCCTCCATTCCCGAGTCAAAACGGCGGGATGGACAAAAAGAAAAGTGAACGCCTTGGTTTACTTTTTCCCCCCACCATTTGGACTTTTCTTATTTGCTTCCTCTTTTCACTTTGTTCTTCTTTGTTCTTTTCTTTATCTTTCCTTCCTTTCGGAAATAACGCAGAAACCAGACAGTGATTGATTTCGCCAATTACGATCCCAATTAAGCTCCACCGAAGACAAAAATGAAATATATTAATATAACCCAGCAACACAAAGCTAACAACTCCAACTGAACAGAGCTCCATCATGAATAATTTTAGTCTTAGCATTATACTTGTTTATCTGAACCATACCGTACAAATCATAAAAGCCTCCAAGAGGTTTCTTGGACGGATTGCTTACTCTTATTTCTCTGTTTCAAGATATTAATGTCTAACCTTTTATGTGTGCAGGGCTTTAGACTGGTCATGTAGAGGAACTTTACCCCTTTTACTTTTATAAACTAACTGGTAACAACCATGATTCTAGGTGCACCTTCTTCAGTCTCTTTAGTTAAGTAATAATTAAATGAGAAACAGATTTTAGGTGGACGAATGAGAGACAGAAGCTTCTTTCCCTTTCATTTCTTCTTTTCATATTTGTTCATGATCCCTCCTTTATTTCCCTCTCTATCCCTTTCTATTGATGGGTATTCCAGTTCTTTCTTCAAAGTCTCAAATGCATTAAAAGAAAGTGCAACATCTGACCAAATCCGTGACCTACTAAGAGGAATCTGAATTTGGTTGTTATTTCCTTCTTGTTGAAATTATTCAGAACATGCCAGAAATTATCCGGATAATGCATATCTTGCTCAGTTATAGGTTGATCCCCAACTTACCTGCTCTTCTATGACCTTAACCAAGATGATGTATTAGCATTTCACATCACTTCCCTCAATTATTGCACATGGCCGACCCTGAGTAGTTGGCTGGGCTCAACTGCAACTTATAGATGGATAGAGAACTGGTGAATGGTTCAATCTACCAGATGCAGGAGGAGGTTACAGGAGGTAGAAACCATAATTTGATTTATTGAGGAAAGCTACTTGTCTGTAAATTTGGTTTGAAATAAAAACCCAAATGAAATGCAGGAGTTTATTAAAGAAAGGAACCATATTTCTCAATTTTGATTTATGTTAAGGGAAGTTGTTCCTTTGTCACGGTTAGGTTTGATGTCAATACTCATTAATGGAAACTTTCATTGCATAAAGCTCTTCCATCAGATTGATCAGCCTTGATTTCAGAGCCTAAAGCTCTGATCATAGAGAGGATAACTTGAAATTACATACCCAATTGATAGAGATGTAAGTTTTGATTTGACACGTGAATTACCTTGTCTGCTCTTCAATGCTAGGCTCCCTTTGTAAGCTACATTGCTCGAATTTTAATTTGATATTCACTGAACAGAAAACTGTAGTTTTAGCAGTAGTCGGACTGTTTGAGAAAATGCCAAAGACAAAGTCAAGTACAATTACCCCTCCAAATTGACAGAGATGAATTTAGAAAAAAGTTAAGTGAGGAGCCTTCATTAGGGCAATCGCTCCTAAAACGTAGTTAAAGGAGGGGTAGGTGCATCCCATATTGTAGACACGGCAAAGAGAGCACATGCTGCGTGCACCAGATGTCATTATGCTCATGTCCCACACATTCCTCAATCAACGCATAATTACTCGGGCCATTCCTCCTTCTTGTTTCCATACTATCATAAGAGCCCTATCCTCCCTCATGGCTTTAACTTTTTTGGGAACACTATCAGGTACCCCACAATTTAAGGCTGTTCTGAAGTCTTGATCACATTCACCAGCTGGGTTTTACTGGGGCTAACTTTTGCTTGGTTGAGAACAAATGATTCTGGTTTCCCAATAGGCACCATGTAAAACATTGGTAAGTAGATTGTATCATGCCTAAGTTGTGATGGGTCTGCCTGCAGGCCACAAGAAACAAAATTATGAAAGATTAGTTAAAGGTATAGGTCTCTTTGGATTCTGCTATGGCTATGGAAGGATTTGGAATTCATAATGTTGTTTACCATTAGAAAAAACAGTAGAATCTTGACAAAATAATTAAATTTGATTAACGAGAAGTAAAAAAATTGAGGAGAGGGGCCCACTTCAATCAACTAAATTTTCTCTTGTGGAGGGACCACAATCATCCAACATCATCACAAACGTCCCCGTCCCATTTGCACCTAATGAGCGGAAAAATCAGAAGGAGAGAGGGAAAAAGAAAGGGTTAAAGTTCTCTATATAACATACTTACTACCATAGTTGCTCATCAGTATGCACACACTCCAAACTCTCCAAGCCAAACCCACCTTCCTCTCTTTCACTGTCATGGCATCCATGGCTGCCTCCTTCTCAAATTGCATTTCTCTTCTTCTCCTCATAACCCTTTTCATGTCTCCGCAAATTCATGCCAGAGACAGTCAGTTCTTCAGCAAAGTTACCCATGTCACCATCCCCACCCACAACAACAACAATGTTGTTAAAGAGACAGAGCCTCCCAAAAAGGAAGAACCCGTAAACAAACCAGAGCAAGAGCCTTCTTTCATGCCTGAGACTGAAAGCAGCTATGGCCTATACGGCCATGAGTCTGGTCAGTTTGCCCCAACCACCACCACCACCACAACTTACAAGCCATACAAGACAGAGCCCGAGCAGCACACAGACAAGTACCCCAACAAGTACTATTTCAACAACGATGCCTACAATACCAACCAAAATGAATTCACCAACACCAAGCTCACAGGAACTGGTTACAGCAACAACAACAACTACTACAACTACAAGACTGACGCCTATGGAAGAAACCAAAATGAGTTCAACTCTGTGGCGAATCAGAACAACCACCAGAAATATTACTACAACAATGACAACAGTGCAGTCAACGACAGGTACTTCGACAACAACAACAACGCTGTCAATGACAGATACTTCTACAACAAACATGCTACAAAGAACAGTTACCACTCCAACAATAATGTTGCAAATAACAGGTACAATGGTGAGAAGCAAGGCATGAGTGACACAAGGTTTATGGAGGGTGGGAAATACTTCTATGATATTAACTCAGAGAAGTATGACCAAACCCTCTACGGAGATTCATCCAGAGGAGTGAACTCTAGGGGCTGGGAAAACAACAAGGGTTATTTTGGCAACAACAATGCAAAATCCTATGAGAACAATAACTCATTTGAGGGTTACCAGAACCAGGAGGAGTTTGAGGAAGAACCCGAGGACTTTGAGCCATGAGCATGTTGGATCGTGGACAGAGTGAAGAATTCACTTTGCCTTTGGGTGTTGGGTGTGTCTGTTTCATGTTTTCTCATGCTTTAGATTAAAAGATTTACAAAAATGTCGAGGAATATGTTTATTTATGGTGGGTTCTTACTTAGCAGTAATACTATCAGATCTTGTTTCTGGATTTGCGTAGTTTGTGTTATGATCTGGAAATTTGCATAAAGTATATTGTAAACATGATATTTTTGCTTATAGCTATCAGTAAGTGGTATGACTGAGGTAAGCTTGCTTCTTTCTCTCTTTTATCTTAAATTTTCCTTTTCCGGGTTATTTTGCTCCTTCAAAACATCCCACTATAAAAGGAGATAAAAGAAAGGAAGAAGAAGCAGAGACGGACAAAACCCATAAGGTAGTAGCATAATATCCCAATTGTTGTCGTAATTGTCCTACCTAGCGACCTAGAAAATCATAATTCTGGATGTATTAAGTTTATCAAGTGTCTGCATTTTTGTTGGATGCTGCGAAGGAGTATTGTTAGACTCTGGAGTTGACTGATGATACATGTCCATTTCCTTGTTTGCATGCCCGTTGGCAGCATATTGGACAAATCACCTTCCATTAGCTGCTGATATGACCATCTCTTGCAACTGGAGACAAATCAATTTCCCTAATTTTCCTACACTGCTTTGTTCACATTTGTGCATAAATTATCTCCTTTCCCTTGAAACATTTGGTTCGGGGACACTGGACATGGATCTCTGAACTTGATACTCAACTTTAATTTCATGACTTAAACAAATTAGCCAAATTTGATGGGTTCAGGCTCAAATTATCTGTTAAAAAGACAGATCTAGATATGGCAAGTGATTCTTGTCTTGGGACCCCTTTTTTCCTTTGATAGTCACCAGACAACATTATTATGGAACTACATTATTAATCGGATGTGAAAATCATGCATCAAGCAATAAGCCATACCCGGCAAGGAGCAAACTACATAATCACACGTTACATCAGACAAGCCAGTAATGCCAAAACATGTTAGGTACTATTTTCAGATAAATGTTTAAACTATTAAGCAAGGATTCAACGAGTTTTGATATAATCTCTAACATCATCTGTCCCTAAAGCAGTGGGTTTTTACACTATATATCAATCTTAAGTGGGCAGTTAAAAAAACTAAACATTATTGCAAAGGCTATTTCAGCCTAAAAGTTTAATACTACCTCCTGTCCTAATTATAAAACCTCATTTGTAACGACATCTTATAATTAGGACCAAAAGTAGTATAATAATTGAAAGGTCAAATAATTTGATGTCACTGAAAGTTTAAATAATTCTACCTCCATATATTGATAAAGTGAGATATAGTGATCAATGTGCTTGCTTGTAGTGGGAGCTAACCATAAATGATGAACCCACTCCCCGGCCATAAATGTGACAAAGCAAAGGTAAAAAGCATTAAAAAAGAACACACATTAATTATTTACTTTGGCAGTTGTGGAAGGTTGTACATGTACCATCATTTTCTGCCTCTTCAGTTGTCCCAGGCGAACTATTTGAAGAAATAAACCAGAAACCAAAAACTAAAAAAATTTCCTTAATTCCAAGGAAATTTGAAGCCATTGCCCTTATGGCATTAAGAAACAAATTACATTTAATTACTCAATCTTAGTATCAGCTTCTTAATGACAGGAAAAGGCTGAAAGTTCTGCCAATATCAGTTTAAAGGAATAGAGCTGTGAAGATGCTGCCAATTTGGCTTTACAGTATGTGCACAAGTCAAGAGAATGAGCTATCCTTTTCAAATGCGAATTGTTCATTTAATGATTTAGTAAGTGGGAAGAGGCATTATTAAAATAATGAAAATATTGGCGCAAATATGGTTGGTCTTTTCTTTCGCCCGTGATTGGCGGAGGGACAAGATCCCATGTTTGATTAAGCTTTGTTATGGTCATAACTGGGGGATTTGGGTCTGCGAGTGGGTCACCAGTTTTTTTGACTTGGGCAATCTACAGCACTGGCATGTTTTGTGTCCTCAGCTAGAAGGCAGTATTTAGCTTTTGACGCCTAAAAAGGCTAAAAATCTTATATTAAAATAAAAGAGAGAGGGGAGAGGGAGAGAGCACTTAAGAATGTTGTTAGGTTTTTAGGTAAAGCAAACATAAAGACATATCAAACTAACCTAACACGTTCGGGCATTTTAATATGGGGCGATGTCTCTTTTAACGAGGCTGTGGCTATGGATTAATAACTTTCACCAAGGAAGGGTTAATTATCATTTTGATGGCCCAGCTTATTATCTGTTTGTTTCAATTTAGCCACCCCCTGCTAGCCAAAAAAAACTTAGCCACCCCCCAAATTTTTTGGTTTTAATTTGAATATCATATTCATCTCTTAAATTTGCTTCGGTGAAAGTAATGACCAAGAGTGAAATGAGGGAACTTGAAAGTTAGGAGCCTAAGTTGAAATAAATTAATTAATTTAGAGATCAATCATAATTAAGTTATACAGTTAATATAATCTTTAATTCATCAAGTTTACCTTCAGTTGGTTTTAGCTCCTCAAATTTCAAATCATGGGTTTTGATCGCTCAATAGGCAAAATGATCCAGGTTTTTATTACATTACAATGACTAATATTTTAAATAAAAAAAATTGAGAAATCAAAGCTTATAATATAAAACTTGAGAGATCAAACCTAAAATGAAGGTAAATTTGAAGGAGCAAAAATCATATTCATTATATATACAATTTTAGAGAATTTAGAAAAGACTCGGGATTTTTTTTAATTTTAAAAATTTATAAAAATGATATATATTATAAAATTAAAAAAATTTCCACTTTTTTAGTATTAGATTTAATGATTTTTCTTCATAATCTCTCTCTTTTTTTTAATTAGGTGAGTTGCTATGAAGTCTTAAATAAAGAAAATAATTATTAAAAAGTCCCAATAATAAATGAGAAGTTAATATTTTTTATACTAAAACTTATCATTACATGATACCATTAAGACTTCTTGGTGATTATATTCTTTTACGAAGTTTTATAGCAATTCTCTCTCTCTCTAATTTTGTGGGTTGGGAATAAAAATTCAAAACCCTTGCGCATTATACGAAAAGTTGCTCTGGTAGTGACATCATCCAAGTCAAGAAGGTGTTATATTGCCCTAAATTCATTTGATATTTTGAAAGTTGAAACCATGTTATTGGCAATTAAGGCGAGAATAGAGATCAAGTTTCAAATATTTGCGTTGAATGATGAATGGTGTTAGTCATTTGATGAGACAGAAGGCAAGAATTAATTTAAAGTGCAAGTGCAGGCCTTTGTAATAAATAAGCGATGGATGGCTAATCAATTTGGTAGGCCCAAATTAATGTGTGCCCTACAAGGACGCCTTAATTTGAGTCGCTTCCATTCTTGAAGCGGCGTATTTAAGGGTTTGCCCAATCCACGCAATAATAATAGCAGCAATAATACAGCATCATATTTTTTCTCTTTCGGCCAACATTTGTTTTTTTTTTTTTTGGTTATTTGTTGGGGGCTCTCAAGCGTGAAAACCAGGAAGAGTGAGATTCCAATGCACCCTGGTTATTACTCCTTCCGTTCCTTATTATAAGAGACAAATAACCGAAGTACGTTGATCAAAAAAACAGTTAAAATTAGTTAAGAACAATTAATGTGTAAAAAGTATAATTTTTTTCTAAAAATGCCCTCATTAATAAGGAGAGAGAGCATAAGAGAGAACAATTAAATTATTAAAAAAAAGAGAAGTGGGAGGGAGAGAGAGTGTGAGTTGGAGATAATAAATATGGGTAAAATAGTAAATCAACACAAAAAAGTAGAGACAACTTGTAAGTGTCTCTTATATATAGAAACATGCCATAAGCATCAAATGTCTCTTATAATAAGGAACGGAGGGAGTATTATAAATATTACTTCGCTGATCCTATTTCTAGAGTATTTTCAGTATGTTTCATATAAATTAAAAAAAAATTAAATTGCACTAACTCTCTCTTAAAGTAGCAACTTTCAAACTTTACTCTTATTTAGTATATGTATCTTTTAAAAAAAAATATCCGCAACATAATAAATAATTAACAAAATAATATGTTCATGCTAAAAATCAAATTAAGTAACTTATATATAGGATCAAGGAAAGCATTCTCTTTATAAATAGGACAAGAAAACTATTACTCATCATCAATATATACACATATAATTGAACCCCACCAAATATACATGTTCCTTATACGCCTCATATAAAGAGAAAAATGATTTTTTTGCCGCCAGAAAAAAGAAAAATTGGTTTTTTATTTTTATAGTTTTAAGTTTTAACTCAATTGAAACTTGGTGTCTTGAATGTAACTCTCCCAATTTTTGGTTCAATTAAAACTCTAATTTTAATATTTGTGATGTTTATATTTTTGTGTGTTTATAGTCTCTATCCACTAACTTCTATATATAAAATGTATAAATAGCAGTCATTATCTACGGAAAGGAGGAAGTGGGACTTAAAAACCGAATGGTGCTTATTCCTAGATTAAATTATAAATGTTTAAGAAACTTCAAATGATATGTAATTAAATAAAAAATATCAAAATCAATCAGTTGACAATCCTTCTGTCTTTAATATAAGACATAATTATTGAGTTAATCTTAGTTTTAAATGTAAGATATATTTCTTATATTTATCATTTTTTTAAAATTATTCCTATTAATACTCCCTCAACCATAATTAAGTAAGAAATATAGGGTTAATATTAAGAAAGATAATTATGATGTTTTAAAAAAATATATTATATTTTTTATAATTAACTAACTTATCTAACTTATTTAATCTAATAAATTAGTTAAATGAGTTTTATATCAAGAATGATTACAATAATTTATTTGACTGGCCGATTCTGATTTGTTTAAATAGTTGAATCTGTTTGTTACTGTAGCAAGTGTGACTAAATGACTTATACGTGTATTTATAATGGCAGGAAATTATAAGCAATGTCTGGGTTTATTTTATTGTCTTCTGTTTTTGTGGGGTTCTGGTTTCATTGACTAAATAGCCGAATATGCTGAACTCAACTCTTCTCTTTTCTTTTATATTCTTTTTATTGACGTATGATATGAAGGAGAACTTTTTTTTTTCCCTTAATTGAAGATCGACTATTTTAATTTCCTTTCAAGGTAAATTAACATGATGAGAAATTTATTAGTAAATGCCAAAAATATAATACGTCCAATATCATCATGTCGGATTAGTTTTTTTTGGGCCGAATGGGTTTTTTGGGCCGATGAAATGGGTTTCATTTATAGGCTTTTTAGATGGGGCTTTAGAGGACAGTTATGTTGGGCTCTGTTGATCTTTTTAAGGACCAAAAACAAAACTAGGAAATAATACGCTTGTTATTCGGTCTGTGCAAGCATGGTTTTAGAACACTGGTTAAAAAAAAGGCATGGTTTAGAACACAATATTTTCTTTTATTTCAAAATTAAGTATTTTCTTTATTAAATTAAAATACACGTTAAATAAACCTTACATGAATTAATAATAAGTTACAACTGTTCATTTTCATTAAGATATTTATACATATTAATATTTAAATAATAGAGTACGGGTATTTTCCACTACCAACTTATAGTATTTAGTATTTACTACTCTATTATTGTGGATGGCAAGGCAAAATGTTGCTTAATTTTTGTTAGGTGACAAAAATGTTGCTTAATTAAATTCATTAATTCCTTGAAAGGAGACCATGTTTAGAGATCCAAGGAAACAAATGGCATGAAGCCATTATGAACCTCCCTCGCTCAGCGAATGATCCCACAACTGAAACTTATTACCTCCTGACCTAATTTTAATACCTTGTTTGTATACTACAATGAGGTTTTATAATTAAAACCGGAAGTAATATACTTTTTAGTGTGAACTTTCACTCAACAAAAATATTTTTTTTTACTAACGTATAGGTATCATTTTATTACAGACAATCCTATTCGAGACATTAATAACTCAACAAAAGAATTTTTTTATTAGCCCATGGTCATTCTCCATCTTTTTTTTTTAATTTAAACAATTTATTAAGGAAAGCATCACACACCCACATTTAGTTGACAACATATACAGGGTACAGAACCCACAACCTCTTAAATAAGAGGAACTGTGGGGTGTCATGTAAGTTATGAGTTCTTATTAGCATTCTCAACCTTTCTATAATAGGTGAAAGACAATCAAAGATATTAAAAAATAATACCGTCTGTATCACGACTATGTTTAGATGATGATGCTAGTTAAATTTGATACGGTAGTAAGAACAGCCTTTTAAAATTACAGCTTGCACCCAAAAAAGCCAATATAATAGCAGATAGGCTAGTAAAGGATAATCTTAGTAGCAGTCATAGTTTTAGGTTACTCACATGTTGAGATCTTTATCCTATAATTTTGCAGCACATGATTGATTGGGATTTTGCCTTCTCTTATTATATTGTGATAGAAAACGAGGAGTGTGCATTGGTATTTGATTTCCCTGGAAACAAAAATTCACAGAAATTAACATGCCACGATGTCTTGAAAGGGGTGATTTATGGTAAGGTGCCTTTCATTGCAACTATGTTTCCGGCCTCAACACAATGACACGGGAAACTGGAAACCTCCGCAAAGCGAAATGAATCCTCGGCACCACCAAACCAATCCTCAAAAACCTCACACATTGCTACGTGGGGCCCCTTCCCCCGAGGATGAATGCCAATTGCCACACGTAACTCATGGATACTAGGCGTAACTCACGGGGACAACCCCAAGCAGAGACCCAGGGAGGAAGAAGGTCAAGTGAAATCCAGGTGGGGTGATATGATTGGCTCGTAACTGTGACAGACGTGGACGTCTTTCCCGCTGCCTTGGCTGACGTGGGACCGCCACCCCCCACCGGACCTATGAGCTGTTGCTGACGTGGCGGACTCTTCTGACCCCCAGGCGGTCAAATATGCAGTAGGAGTACGTTAGCCCATGTTGGCTCATGCCGCCAACTATGAATAACCGACACATTCGTTTTTTGGCCTCTTCCTCCTTATCACGACCCGCACGGCGCACACACTCTCTTTTCCTCTCCGCCTTTTTAGGGCCTCTAATTAACTAATTTTATTATATTAAAAAAATTAGTTAAATTAATTATTTATAATAAATAGGTATTTGTTTTTTTAATTATCTTTGCCAGTTAAGTAATTAGCTAGAACTACTATTATTATAAGAATTATTTTGACAAAATAGATAAATACGAGAGAGACAACATAAATTGAGGTTTTGTATTTAAAACCAAAATAAAAATCAAATACAATTTTATATTAAGAATCAGAGTCCAGAAGTAGTAATGTAGTATTTTATTTGCTTTCTTAAATTCAGCTCCCATTTCTATACCCACAATCATACAAATTTTCGCTTGTACTTAAAATCTTATTACTAGAGCCAACAAAAAGATTAGTTCAGTTAGTAAGAAGTTATCTCATAACCCCTGAAATTGTGAAGTTAAGTCTCAGTGTCAATAAAAAAAATATTGTTGATAAACGATTTATAAATATATATGTAAAAGCTCATTAAATTTGGAGACATGTCTTAATACTATTAGGTCTCGGGCCCACTTACCTAAACTTCTTTCTTGTGAGAAATTCTTATTACAGGAGAAAAATGAACTTGTCTCATTTGCTATGGGGTCTTGCTTCACAATAAGGCTACATCCATTAATTATACTTCTCCTCATGTGCTGTCAACGCTAATCTTTTTAAAATACTGACGGATTGTATCTAGATTATCACGATCAATTATTCAATCCCAACCAAATGACAAGGGAAATTATCAAATTCTCACACCAGTTTGTGGGTTTGTTCATGACTTTTCGTTCGACTAGATAACGACTACATGATTTGTTATTACATTAAAAAAAAAACTGGTATATAAAAATAACTAAGTACTTGTCACATGACAATTAACTATTCCACATGCCATTTGCCTCCTTATATCATAAAAACCAAAAAAAAAAAAATAACATTTCGTATCACTGTACTGTAGTGTCAATAATCTTGAGGGGAAAAATTAATTAACATGAGAATTTTGGCCTTTATAATGATGATTAGACATTAGTCCGGGAGAGAAAGAAAGCCGTAGGTTTCAAACTCTTGATAATTAAGGTAACGGCAAACAAATTACTGATTCTGGGCAAAGAAAAGAAAATCATGTCGCGGGGAAAAGTAAAGAAAAGTAATAAGTGGTTAATTATATCAAAATATAAAGTAAATAGTTCTTTCCCCTGCTTCAATTGTTTAAGAAAAAAACTCGTAACCACAAGATCAAAACATTCCAATTAACACAATCAAACAACAAGGCCAAAGCGCGTACCAAACAGTACTTAGGTAGTAAGTTTGTTTCAGTTTAGTGCAATAATCAAAATTATTAAATAAAAAAATTGCATCACTAGTTCCCCAAGTGGGAAAAAAAATTAAAATTGCATTAGCTAGTATGTTACCCCTCAAAGCAAGGTGATCTACACTGATCACCATCACTTGCGATGTAAGTTCTTGTTTACCAATCAGCAGCGACAAAAATTGCTTGTAACCTGTAAATGTCTCGTCACTCCTTTTACTACCAACCAAACAGGCCATTAATGTTCTTAAATCTCAACCGTTTTGATTTATACGTCGACCCCATGCTGGAAAAGCTAGAATATAATGGATATAATGAATAAGTCACTTGAAGGATGAGGATGATCAGAAACGGTTCCTTTTCAGTTTTCACAAACGGCTGTTCAAGTGTCACCACCCCAAGGAGAATTTTAAAATATGGGGCTAAATTAAGGGTAAAGTCATTCCTGTATTTATTGTAAAAATGAATTTTTTGGATTTATAGAAATGCGTTAGTTTAGGTGATTCAGTGATTGATATTCAAGGCTGAACATTCAGGTGGGACCCAAACTCTTAAATGTCTAATGTTTAAGGAAGGAAGAATACTAGTTAGGGGACACGTAAATACTCGGGCCATTGATTTCTCCAAAACAAATTTCTCTTCGCTCTCTGTGTTCTCTGTGATCATCATTAAACTCAACTTCTCGGAGCAGGGCAGAGAAGCCATGGTTAGAGAGGTAATAATTCTTCCCTTCACTGCTGCAATTCTGCACAAATAGTAAGAAAGAAGATATTCTCAGCATGCCTTCTTTCTTTCTATCTTCTTCTGCTATTCAGCATTCTCTCTTCTGGGGTTTGATATTTCACTGTTGTCTCGCTGAAAGATCGTAATTTTCTTGGTCTGTTAATGTTAATTCAGCCACAGATGTCAAGTAATTGGATTGGAGTGTGTAAATTGGAAACTGAAGCTTTCTTCCTCTGGTTTAGCTCATTGTGCGTTGTTATTACTTCTTGAGTCTTGTTGTTTACCGTTTAGCTTCTTAAAGACTCAGAAAGATTTTTCTTGTTTGCTTATGGGTATTCTTGCATGTCATTTCAGCGGAATAGAAATGAATCTTTGCTGGAGGTAGTTATTTTTGTGTTGGGAATTGTGAACCTTGGCAATTGTTTGTTGAAAGTAATCCTCGAACATTATGCATCTGGATGTCTTAGTTATTTGAGTTGGGGGGCTAGTGAACGTGGAAGGAGACCATGTCAATCAATGTAGGTAAAATTTGTATTTTTCTTGGTGGACTGATATGGAGGACTGACCGATTGCTGCTTCAAACCAGGAAGATGATGACAGTATAGTCGGCAAATCAGTAGTCCTTTGAATTTACATTTCATTAAAACCCATCCCAGGTTCTTGTCAGAACTTAGTACCCGAACTCATGGAGTTATCCTAATTATGTTAATATGACATCAATTAGAATGGGGTCCTGAAAATGAGGGGGTAAAGCCTGGTCCCCTATTTGCAAGACTATTACTTAAGAATCTTGCTAATTAATGGTTATAGTCTGATGAGCATCAGATAAATTATTTTCATTCTCAGAATAACATGTAAACTGGATGGTTTAGGAGTATTTATTTCTATTAATGATAAGTGATAACTCTACTGGTTGCGGCAATCTGGCAGGGGCACATGATGTGGGCCAAAGCTAAAGACTCAGAAGTAAAATAGAGAAGAGTTATAAGTTGTAAGGCATGGGTGTGGAATAGATCTGAAAAATATCTGAACAAATAGCCCATACTAACCACTAATGATTCATTTTCATTTTAAGAACCGTCTACTGCAGACTGATGAGAAGATATATTTGCCGACAGTTCTTTCTAACTAGGTTATACCATGAACATGCTTTTAGCATACCGGAGTAGGATCGATGTACAGAGGAAGAAATTTATGGGATTGTTTTGAAAGTTTCTTGGAAGCTGTACTACTAGCGGTAGGGTTGTTTTGAAGGTTTTCTAAAACCTGGAAGAATCATCTGCGTAAGAACTTTGCTGCATCGAAACTGGAATTTAAAACACGGTCAGTCAGAACAAACTGCCCGTAACAACTGAATCTTACCAACTGGATTTCCATAGGTGGATTTTGTGAAATTGCTTAACCCCTGGCCAAACCTCTGCCATTTTGTAATAATCTTTGCATTTACACTATTTAATGGTAACTTATTGGATCACCTTTCTTTTGTTCTGGTTTCTTTCTGTTCATTATAAACATTATAGCAATTTCTCCTATTCAGTGACGTTCTGTGGTAGACCTGCTTAGATCAACTCAAGGCACGTATATCTCTTTGGTAACTAGAAGATTCAGCTGCTCATGCTGCTTCCTTGCTAATATATGGGGAAGAAAAAACTTATCTTCTTGTAGTTGCTTAAGTTTGAACTGTCTTCATTTGCAATGCTGATAACAACAGATGAAATAGTAGTACAATTTTGTTTATAATGGATTTCCAACTTCACTAGGAAACTTTTCTGACTGACCTGCTAATGATTTAATATAAATTCAAACATTGACGCTGATTGTTAGTCATAACTTTTAGGTAACCTTCTCCGTAGAAAATCATTTGAAATATGGTTATAGTATGAAGCAATTTTAATGTGTGTCTCTTCTCAGAATGGTGAGATGCATCTCGGATGGCCACTTGGGCTCAGCTTTCTGTACACGAGGCTTAGAGTTGCAGAATCACGCCCAGTTGCTCCAGTGGAGTCTTACTCATTGCATGTACCATCTTCCAGCTTCTCCTCATTCTCATCCTCCAACCTCGATACAGAGGTAATCTGAACTCGCCTTCTTCATTTTTTTTCTTACTCTTCCCCCCATCTACTTTAGGAATTTTACTTCTCATCAAGTTTGTACTTTCCACAGATGAACCAATTAACTCCACTAAAAGTTCGTAGATTTATTTCACCTGGGTAGATTAACCTGATAATCAAGAAAGTGGTTCTGCAGTTGACATAATTGAGCTGGTCTGCTTGTATTTTTACTGCGTCTAATTAAGTCTGTATCTAACTACGTAGTTTATAGGCTGTACAATTATCTTAGACATTTATGGAAAGGAATCATGTACAACGGCCAAGTGGGTAATAATCACTTCCCTGTTTTCCCAAAGAAGAGGATCCACTTGTCCTCATAATTGCCTGCCATAACAGTGGTTTTAAACTTTATGTCATAGAGTTAATGCAGGCTTCCAATTTTGGAAAAATGAACTTCCCACTGTAAAAGCATCAGCAAGTCCCACCAAAAATCATGTGAAATAATTACTTCTTTTACATGTACCAGCAAGAAAAGTCAGGAGCTTGTAATCTTCTTGTTCTCACACTTTTAATCACGTTCTTGTTACAACCAGTCATCTGCATCTTTCTTCCAAGACAATAGTGTATCCCTCGGGAGGCTAATAGGCATTAGAGCTGGTGAAAGAAGAGGACGCTTGTACATCCCAAACTCGTTAAGTTTTGAAGAAAGTGAGAAGAACAATGCGTTGGCAAAAGATGATTCTAAAGTACATGAACAAGTGGAAACGTCTCCAGGCAATGTTTGTATACCCATACTACTTGATGCATTGCTGCTCAAGAGCAGCAGAACTAAAAGGAGTTCAAGGAACTAAGCATTATTATTGATGATGATGGGGCAAAACACATATCTCATGCTGTGCCACTTCAGTGAAGATTCTCAATTCTGTTGTTGTAGTCAGAATTCAAAAATGGGTTTCAGTCAATTTTTCTTGAATTCACCATTTTAACTTTTGCCAAGACCGTTATTGTAACTTTGTTCCGTTTCATATTACGAGCATATAATAGAAGGGATGTGAAATTTCTTTCTTAATTCAGATATATGATGTCAAGTACTTCAGAAGAATAAAGATTAATAGCTGGGAATTATTTAGCATTCAGCACCTTCAAGTATTGAAGTATTTTCTTAGGTGCTAAGTATTTTGTGGTGCACTCCAAAGTTTTTTTTTTTTGTCTTGGTACTAGATGCACTAAAAAATATTTTTAGATGTACTAAAAAATATTTCAAAGTACTAAACAAATTTAAAAAAAATATTTCATGGTATTGGATATACCACAAAATACTTTAAAATGTTGAATGCACTTTTCTCGAGCTAGTAGATACACTTTAACCTAATTATTTATAACGAGTTTAAGTCTCAATGAAATGAGACCTCAAATCTGCTGTTAAACTGGACTTTGTTAGACTCAATTTGCTTTTTGACATTTAAAATTGTTACAGTATTTCTAATTTAAATATATTTTATTCATTAAATATAATGGTATTATTTAAAAATTTACGGTATTTCTAATTATTTTAATTTCATTGTATTATGTAAAATTATTTTTTAAATCATATTTCATTATTAATTAAAACCCATACTCATTTTGATAATTTTACAACCAAACTTACTTTTACTTAATCATAATCCAAACAACTTTTTACTAATCTCACTTTTACAAACTAATTTTTTTAAATTTCAATCCAAACAAAATTCAACTTATCCAATTTAACTTTTACTCAACTTCACTTTTTAAAAGTCAAATTAACAATAAGCTACTTTTTCATTCGCTAATCCAAACAGACCCATTACCAAGAGGCACTGTGACTCAAGCTATTTAATCATGAGATCAAGTTTTAATCTCCAAGTTTATATATTTGGTCATTATGTAAATTTATTCCTCGAAGCGAATGTACCAAATGATCATAAACTTAAAGTGAATGCAAATTATTCCTCTCTGTTTTTTTTTATTCCTATTCTTCTAATCTCAATTTCTTGTATTTTTTTTATTTTTGGTAATATTATTTCAGATTCCTATTATTTTTATTACTAAATAAACATGACAATTTTTCAAAATAAATTTTAAAAGAAAATAAGTGATTTGTCATCGAAAAAAAATTAAACAAACGAGTCCTATAAACCATAAAGTACTCGTTCATTATAAAAATATAAGTGGATTTGTTATTTGGAAAAGAGGATTAATACGAAAATTAGTTAGAGATAAATCATCTAGAGTTAATATAATTTTTAATCCCTGCCTCATTTTGGTTTTAATAATTTAAATTTTAAATCATAGGTTTTGATTCTTAAAAAAAACATGATTTAAGTTTTTATTGAATTATAAAAACTAATATTTTAAATAAAAAGAATTTAAGAGACTAAAACATATAGTTTGTAACCTGAGGATTAAACCCAAAATGGGAGTAAACTTTAAGAACCAAAAATTTGAATTAACTTAATAATCTATTATAAAAATATACATGTTCTACCTTAATTGAAAACATGTATGATAAGTGTATAATTACCTTATTTCCCCCCCTTCTTTTCCCTTCATTTCATCCTATTTGTTGCTTATTTTAAATGATTTAAGAACTTGAATATAATTAATGAGGTTTAAAAAAATAAACTTATCCCAAACTAATATGCTTTTTAGTTTTAAAAATGTTTTTTAGTAAATAACAAAAAATCCCGGTCAGAGTTAGAAGAGTAAATAAGAATTCTCCAACCCCCAAAAAAAAAAGGAAAACCATTTTGTAGTTACACTTAGTTTTTCTCAATTTTTAATTTAGTATCTATATACTTTTTCTCTTAATTAAATATTATAATTTTGTTTTGTTAGTATAATTAGTTTTTATATAGGAGCTAACAGTACTAAGAAAACAAAATTATAAAAACTAACGGCATTAGTAGGGTAAAATTAAAGTATTTAATTAAAAAAATACACAAATATTAAATTACATATAAAATGGTTTCTCAAAATAAAAAGCAAAATAACCCAAAAGTACAAAAACCGAAAAAAGTAAAACCTTCTCGTGAAACTGCAAAACCCCTCCAACCTCGGTGCCCTGCTCCAAAACCCCGAGCCGCTGCCCTCCTCCCCCCACCCCCGCGTGACGATGTCGTCCTTCGCCGCTGCCAGGTCCCTCGCGCGCTCCGCCGCTGCCCGATCAATTCGGACTATGAATTTAGCTACTGGCGCCAGAGCAAGACCAACGTGTTCGCCATTTGGGATCCCAAAGCGGAACCCACTCTCTAATCGCATGTTCAGGTAACCGAACAATCCCAATCTGGAACCACCTCTTCCTCCGGAAAAAATATTGAGAGTTAACAATATATGCTCATTGTTCCATGAAAGGTCGCCTGTGGAGCTGAGCTGCTGCGTGGAATCGATGCTTCCTTATCACACTGCCACAGCATCTGCATTGCTCACTTCCATGCTCGCTGTATCTCGCCGATCATACGGTTGGACCCCTGAAGGTATTCCTTCTTTCTCTTTAGGGAATTATGTGTTCAAGATTATTACTGGTCCGGATTAGCTTTTTGAGAGCGATGGTGTAAGAGTATGAGAAAATGCTTCTGAAAAGCTTAAACAAACGCCCCTTATTTCTTTTACATGTCTGGTTGGATGGAAGGGTTTTGTGGTTGTTGTTATGATATTCATTCATGGGGAAATCTAATCCGGGAAGGACTTGTTTTCTTTTGGTCTCAAACAAGCTAAATTATATTTGGAGTGTACAAGTATGCAATATCTGCTCTCTTTAGCACTCAATTCTATTGACTCATTGAGACTTTTAATCGTTTCTTACCTCTGTAATATAGCAGCTTTTGTTCTTTTGTATCGTAGTCAACAAACACATGAAGCAGTTTTAAGGTATAATAAAATGAGGAATGTCTTCCGATTCTAATAACAAGAGTAATAATACTAGTAATAAGTAGGAGGAGGGAGAAGGACCTCACTGAAACAATATCTATTTTCGCCCAAACAATTATTTTCCTTTTGGGTGGAGCAGGGTAGGTTGTTTGAGTTGTTTAAGTAGAAATGCAACAATTACGTGTATGTATGCAATTTTTTTCTTTGGAAACTTAGTTTTGCTTTTCCATTAGGGTCTCTCTCTTGCTCCAACAATAAAAGGATGTATATTATTTCCTTTTTGTAGGGCAAGAGGAGACTAGATGAAGATCAAGCAACGAATGTCTCTCTTGGGTTGAGAACTACGCTACAGTGGTTTAGGTGAGATGAGTGGATTTCTTGATCTAGGATTTTACAAATTGATATGGGCTAATGGTGCATCTTAATGGTATTTCTTGATGTGTTCCTTGTACATATTACTTCAGCATTTCCTTACGATAACGAATCTTCATCTGAAATTATTGACCAATATCTCATCCCATTCCCTCAATAAGGAACTACCACAGATTGACTCAACCAGTTCCTTCCATAAAGTGAAACTTGTTCCATGGATGATGTTTTTGACTTCGTTTGCAATCATCTGAGCTTTTCCTTGGAATAATGAAATTTCTTAAAACAGTTTTCTGTCTGCTTATATGGATCCTAGAGCTGCTAGGTGACCATGCTGGAATATTTATTGCATCTGATTTAGCCTTGGTAAATCAATGCTTAATAACAAAGTAATTATCCGAAGATCATACTAATTTATTGTATTCGCCCAGATTGCAATCATGATGTATAATGAATGACGAAGGGTTCGCGCAAAGTTTTATGTAGATGCTCTCCTGAAAAGGTGGTCAACTAAAATTTTGTTATAGGATTTCACTTAATTTTTGCTTCATTATGTAATGTAAGAAAAGCAATTACTGGGAGTTGTTGAATGGCACCAAACCCCCACCAATAAGTTACTGCATTATAATTTGGTTTCTTTCTCAAAATGGATAACTTAATGCTCTTATATGTTGGAGTGCACATGCTTGCAGTGTAAAAGAGTGATAAATGGTACACTATATTAGGGTGCTATAATATAAATGATCATAGTCCTTGCAGGATATTACTGAGGTCTTTCTGTAATGTGTCTTGATTTTGTAGAGCCAGGCATTTAGTGAATCCCTAAGGAGCATCAATTCTGTGGCGTTTATCCTTCTGCTTTTACTGTTATCTGGGCTGCGTAGGTTGATTAGAATGTTAAAAGCATTAATTTGTTAAATCTTAGTTGATGTTATTATTATAATGCTTCTCACATACCAAAATTTTTGCTTAAACACCTATATATTGTTTTTCATATGGCAAGGTAACTTCTGCGGTGTGTTGGTGCTGTTACAGAATAAGATTCTATTGTACTGCTACAAACTTAGTGTGAGAATACAAATATTCTGATTTGCCTTTCTTTGCTACTTCCATTTTGACCTGACTGTTTTTTTGTTTAGGGTCGTGAACGTTTGCTCTGTGGCCTTAGGATTGGAGAATACAAATATCCTTCTTTTCAATTTGCTTTGCTTTGACTTGGTGGTTTTATGATGTGATTCTAAACGATTTGTGTTTTAGAAAATCACAGTCATGCTTAACTAAGATTATTAATAATGATAATCGTTGTATCATTTTGGATGACATGGAGCTGCACCTTTCCTAAGTTATCTTCTTCTTGAAATGTAGATGGATGATTCTTGTTTGTGGGTGCGACCCGTGCGTACTTTGCATGCTCCGCTTTGCTAGACCTGCTTGGAGATTTTTGTTGTTCTCCTTGGTTGGATGTGAATTTTTTAATACTTTGTTGTACACGCATTGAAAGCTGAGTATAATGCTCGAAATTTGAACATGGTTGTTCTATCATTCCAAACATAGTTGAAACTTTTGGAAATAACAGTGATCGATTCTTCCCTGTTCTTCAAAAAATGACCTCCTTTAGTGGAGTGGCGAAGATTTCACTTGTTGTCAATGATGTAAAAGCCAGTTTGGCATTGTGGCACACTGCCTTTGCTGGTGCTAGATTACGGGTTTGATTCTGCTTGTTACTACTTGTAATAATATAGCAATAATAACAACAACAACAATACCAATAATAACAACAACAATAATAAATACATTGTGATGGTCGGTTGCAGTTTCAACCGTGCATGATGAGTGGGAGCCTGTGTTGCAATGACTTCGCCATATGTAAGCGTCATGTAACTCACCTCAGAAGAGTGGGCAATAAAAAGTGGGGAGATTTATCCGGTCAAAAAAAAAAAAGTGGGGAGATTGAGAATGTAGGATGTTTTTTCAAGAGAAATGTTTCAAGTTAAAACCGGGGTTTCGCAACAATTTGTATTCTTTTGACAATTAAGTCGTTTAATTTCTCACAATCGGGAACTCATTTGTACATCACGCTTAAAAGTAGCTGCGCGCCAAAGATTATATTATTGGTTATTTATCATTTGTTTTAGGGAAATGAATGTAATTTTGCCTGTGATTTAATATTTCCAAAAGTATCACGTGGTATTTCTTTTTTTTTTTTTTTAAGAAACTCGAGACAAGGATTTGAGTCAATTAAAGTATTAAACTGCTCAAACCAATCAACACTTTCAAAGTTAACTTTTACAGAGTTGTACACTCCCTCCGATCCTTCTACACTTTAAAAAACTAATATATGAATAATAAATAATTAGTTAAAAATAATAAATAGGTTAACAATATGCTTTTGTTTTCAAATATACTTTAAAGTATGATTAAAAAAATTCAAAACAACATTGAAAAAAATACTTTAAATGTTAAAACAATAAAATGAATCATGCATCTTTCTAAATTTGAAATTTATAAATTGAACTAGACGAAATATTATTGTTTAGATTACTCTTGATTCTTAAATTAGAATGAACTTAAAAACTTAGTAACATCATTTTTTTTAATACAAGAACTTAATAACATCATTAATAATAAATAATCAACTCCATGCTTCCACTTCCCTCCAAGTGAGTCTACCCATCTACTCCCAAGGCCCATAGAAAAGGAAAAGATAGTATCGAAATTTATATGGCGCCCCATCTTGAACTCAAAAGGTCCAATTTGTTGTTTATCCTCCGCCCCACCCCCAAAAAAAAAAACTGGAAATGATGTCCGCGAAAATGCAGGCGGCGAAAATGAAAAAAACAAAAGACAGATAATTGTATTAACACAATATTATATTTTCTCTCAAGATCTCTGCATACAGTTGACAAAGGTTAAAATATCATAACCCCATAACACAACACCTTTCTAGCGACCTCAACTTCACCCAAAAAGATGCCAAGTAGTTATAAGGGAATCACATTATGTAAGCGAAGGTATACCCAAACCCATCCTTCGTCACAAGTCAAATACTTTACCTTGACAATATCCATGTGCTTGGTAAACAAATCATCAAGTCATCTTTCCACTATCCAAAGGAATCATTCTTCAACCACGTTCACCAACTCGTATTCCACCAGAGAAAGGTTGTTATCCTCTTTGACCACAAATTTTGCAGGATCAGTGACCTCAATACGACCCCATTTGTCAACAGCAAGCCTCATAGATCCTTTGAACATGTCAATCTTTGCATTTCGAAGAATTACTGTAGTACCTGGCTTCATCAGGTCCACTGTAACAGAAAAAACAAGCCACATCATATACAAATACACATGTTGGAAAAACTCTTCAACAAACTCGGGCTAGTAAAATAAAAGGATCAAGTAAGTCACAGAGGTGCGCATATAAGCTTTCCAAAAAGTTTATGTAACACGTTGTTATGTAATCATAATAATATAAATGACAGTTAGGAGTTAGCTAGCTTTAAGATTCAGGTCTATAGCCGTAGGGAGGGGATTATTAATACCTATATACACAGACCCATTTAATTCAACTGTAGCCTGTGGTGATTTGAATCATTCAGTCCTAATGTCCCAATCTCTCCTCTCCCCTGTTCTCTCTTTACCTCAGAATTTCTGAGTCTCTTCCCCTTTGTTTTCCCCTTTCTCCTCTCTTTCTCTCCTATTTCCCTCGCTTTTCTGTCATAGCTACGATTTTGTAACACGTTCATTCATTTTTTTCGTTGTTGGTCTGATTCATCTCTCTTACATAGTCTTAAATGAGAATCTCTCCTTCAGCTGGTGGGCCTTATTTCTGCTCCCCCAACATCTGTACCTATCCAGTATGCACATATTACCAATTAACCAAAGCATCAGAGGTCTTCTATTCATTAAACTTTATGTAAATCAGACCACATATCTACAAACAATATAAACCCTAATTACTCTGAAAACTGTTTCAAAAGTGAAGATGAGCAGGAATACGGGTAAGTAAATTCACACAAATATCTTGTCCACATTTCTTTAGTATTCTGATCCCATTTTCCTTCCACTAGAAATTGTCATCCATACTCCTGTTGTAGATTTCAGTATCCTACAAAATAACCAAATGATGGAAAACTGCATAGTTTGGATGTTTTAGATTGAAGATTCCTTTTTGTTTTTTTTGGGGGGGGGGGGGGAAGCAAATAAAGTTGTTTACCTGCAGATTCCTGACACACACACACACACACAGTGTGTATATACACACACATATAGAGAGAGAGAGAGAGAGAGAGAGGATACAATCAAGGGCCCTTTGATTCAAAGAACTAAAAGTACCCTTCTACATATTTGATACAGAAATTTTTAATTATCATATATAGTTAAATACTAAGGTAATTCAGACATTAGTTTAAGCAGAAAATTAGTTAAAAAGATGTTTGATTTGGGTAGGAAAATATAATTGACATCATAACCATATTGTTAAAAAATATCCCTATCTTCTCAACAACTTTTGTTCTTTGACTCTGGACTAGTGTGATACCAGTGTAATGACACTCAAGACAACTTCTGGTTTTATCGTGAACATGTGTGCGTGTGTGTGATTTTGAATTGTAAGTGTGATAGGGCCCAAGTATGAGCAATGTCTCATGTTTGTGTGTATGAGCACAATATCATGTTGTGCTTTTGTGTGCGTGCGCATTTAATGACATCATGTGAACATGCTGCATATTGTATTATGTATTTGCATGCATGTGTGTTTATTGACATCATTTGAACGTGCCGCATATCTTTTACATCTTTTAAATCTTGACGTGCTAAGAGTGCATCTGAAATTCAAAAACAAAGTTTAAAGAGTATTATGGTAATATGGTAAGTAGCGTGGAAAAGTAGGATAAGAAATAGATACTGTGTAATATTTAGAAATATGTTGAACTTAATTAAAGAAAACTAATAGCAAATTAGGAACATTTTTTTAACCAATAACTTCCAAAGAAATCTAGACAAATCCCCATGCCAACACGTGATGTATTAACAATAGAAGCGCTCCAGATGAAGCATAACCAATGAGAACATAATTGAAAAAAATGGACAAAGCTCACGAAAATGTCAAACTGAATCACAGCAATGCAGCGATAAGATAAGAAACATTTTGCAGCAACCAGTTACCGCAGTTAAAAAATTAGGGACCCCAGGTGGGATTTTTTTTTTTTTTTTTCTTTGGGAGGGGGGTGGTTAAGTTGCCAGTCATCATTCCCCTCACCATCACACAAAATGTTCACCGAGGATGCCCATTTTACACTGCTGAACAAAACAGCTCAAATGCATCCCGTGATCAGCTTATAGAGAATGACATTGGAAAAAATTAATAACATGAACACGATCCGTTCAGTCTATAAAGCTTCATAACCTGCACAAAACTTCGTCAAATCTCATAAATACGAATCCTACAACACAAAGAAGCAAGACCTTTACATGTAATTGTGGTTCCATGGTAATGGTTCCAATGAGCTAGGAATTTGGATTTCAAGGACCCGGGCCAGATAATTAAAATTAGGCATTTTAATCGGAGCAACTACATATAATCATCAACCTAGATCCAGATAAGCAAAACACCTCCGAATAAACCCCCCTTCAAAATTTCATAATCGGTACATCATCGAAAATGAAAGAGTCACGCAGGGACAGAATCACAATATAGGACCCATGATAATGCAGATCCTATCAACAAAATCTCAAATAAACACAACAAAAATTTTAAACAATCAAAAGGCGTCTTATCAGAGAAGTTTTCTTTTTATATATAAAAAAGAGGCTGAGTTGAGGACCTTGTTCGTTGCGAGCGGTGAAAAGGATGGTACCAGTCTCGTCGCCGACAAGGCACTCGGCGATGAGAGTGGGACGGAGGCTCTGAGAAGAATTGGAGGGTCGTCCTTTCTGCAACACGGTATTGGCGGACAAGACCTTAACGACCAAGGTGTGACCGTTAGTTCCCGGCTTAAGTTGATCCACTTTGACGAACACCGGCTTCCTCTTTGCGGGTTTATTTGCCCCACCGCCTTGCTGATTCGATGCCATTGTTTCCGATCCCGGATTTCTGTGTTTTTCTTTCACGGATTCACAAGTTCAGCAAAAGCAATATGCTTATGGGCTCTATCAGTCTCATATTTGCTTGCACCTAATACTGATCGACGTTTCTTCGTCTCTTTCACTTTTCCGGTTTGTTAAAAAGCGACACGTCGTTTGTGTCGAACCGTGCACGTCACGCCTCACGTGAGACGTGACCCGCCCCAAGGGATGAAATGTTTTTATAGCTCTTTTTTTTTTTTTTTTGAAAAAAATCCGTGCTAAGAACGTGACTGCCGTGAGCTCGCTCTTTTGAGACTTCAGTTAATTGATTCTTTCTTTAATTTTTTTTCCATCCATAACTATAACGGTTTTTTGGGCTGCATGCAACTAAAATGTTAATTAAATAAACAGATTCATTAGAAAAATGTTGAATCAACAGGATTGGGGGATGTTTGGTCATTAATCTAAATCCTCAAATCAATTGTTAACAAAAATGAGTCTACTTAATAAGAATTTGATGTATGATTTATGAGATTGTAAGTTCAAATTTTATAATCAATATAAAATTTTTATTAATAAGCAATCTATAAATATTTTTCTAAGTTTTTTTTAACTCGAAAGTGTCTTATTTTAAAGAGCCATCATCTAAGTTTGTGTCTTTTAAAAATATAAACGTTCACGTCCAATTCTATGATTTTTTTTTTATGGTTGACTTGAATCAAATTGAGTGATATACTACTTCCGGTCTTTAATATAAAATTCTATTTGACTTTTATTTAGTCCTAAATATAAGATTCTAATTTATTTTTTTATCATATTTATATATTTCTTTCTAAAATAGTTTTTCTAACAAGGATAGTTCTAGTCAATACACTTGATTAGTAAGGATATTTTAGGAAAAATAACACCTATTGATATTTTAGGAAAGATAACACCTATTTAGAACAAATAACTAATTCAACTTATTTTCTTAATCTCTTCAAATTAGTCAACTGGCTCTTATAATTAGAATCGGAGCTAATATACCGTGGCTCAACTACTTTTTAACATAAAAATTAAAGTGAAGCGAATTATAAAAGTTCATTAAAATCAAGATATTTTTTTTAGGTGGGATTTGTGCTTGAGTTGTTGATTTTACAAATAGGTTACGAAAGCTAACTTTTTTTTTTTTTTTTGCCGATTGGTTAGAAAAACCAGCTATACTTTGTTCGGCATGGTTGTGAATTGATTCTAATAAACTATCAATAAATTAAGAAATAATATTTAAGATTGATAAATCCACTTTGATTCCATATCAATCAAATAAGTTATAACCATTAATATGGTTAAGGCTAACACAAATATTCACCTAAAATTTTTGCGGGATAACGTTAGCAAAAATCTACTTGACATGATGAAACAAAATCCACTCAATTTGTAGAAAGCTTCATAACCGGCGTAAAATTTGGGAAGCAGAAAATTTTATAATTAGGCTAAATATTTATTTTTATTACTTGCATTAGTGTGAATCTTATGTTGTATGGAAAATAAGAAAATGACTGATATTATTTATATAATTCATAATTTTGTTAAAAATTTTATATATTATACATAGACATATATAATACGGCCTGAAGTCGGAAGTTAAATTACAAATTCTTGCTTACGTAATATAGTGAATTTAAAATGAATCATATGATCATGAGATTCATGACTTATAAAAAAAAAATTTATAACTTATATTATAAAGTACACATATTTTTTTTCTAACTGTGTAATAAATATTGCATATCGAACTCAAATATATAATTAATTGTTTTGACCCAAAAAATATACTTTCCACTCGGTTGAAACGTAAAACTCAATTTATAATATAATTTATATTATAACCGGAGGAGTATAAATGAATTAAGGTTTTTTCGTTGTAACTCCCTTGCAAAATTGTAATCCGCAAAAACCTCTCGCTTTGTAGCTCCCTGTTCTGCCGTCCAAACATCTCCTGTCCGATGATGTCCGCTGGAACCGCCGCTGCCGCCAGGTCCTTCATTTGCTCCGCCGCATCTCGAACTGTCAGGAAAGCCAAGTTGGCCGGGGGCCCTAGAGTTAGTCGATCGACATGTTCACCGTTTTCGATCCCGAAGCAGAATTCATTCTCTCATCCCTTGTTCAGGTTACCTCTCTTCTCTCTTGGCTATATGCTGAAAACTTACCATGTTTCCGAATTTGCTGACTTGTCTTCTCTGGAGAGGTTGCCTGTGGAATTGAGCTGTTGTGTGGAAACGATGCTCCCATATCATACTGCCACTGCTTCCCCATTGCTCACTTCCATGCTCTCGGGATCTTGCCGATCGTGCGGTTGGAACCCAAAAGGTATTCGTTCTTTCTCTATATGGAATTATCTGTGTTTGTGGGATGCGTTGTAGATGATATATTGGTTATTTGAATGATTGAATTTAAGGCTTTTGTTGTTGATGATATCCTTGAAATTCCCGGGGAAATCTAAGGGAAGGACTTGTTTTCTTTTAGCTTCAGGCAAGCTAAATTATATTTTTTGCGTCTTTAATCATGAAATATAATTGACTTTCAATACTTTTTAGGGCCAGCCAAGGAATCATGATGTTTATGCTTCGTGGAACGGGGTTTAAAATAAAGCTGAACTTTACCGGTCTTATGTATGAAGTGTTCGAGTATTTAACAGATGTTCTTGGTACCATGCTCCGAAATTTAAACTCTTTTAGGTCGTTGAGCCTTTAGTCGTTTCTTACCTTATCATAGCACCTTCTCTTCTTTCTCCTCTTGTTTTGTAGCCAAAAAACATACAGGTGGAATTAAGGTAAGATAAAATGGAGAATTTCTTTTTTATGTAACGTAACGATATGATGGAAGATTTGGCAGACGCAATACAAGATGCAAATTTGTCCATACAATCTTATTTTGACCCCCCCCCCCAACCCAAAAAAAAAAAAAACCTGTTGGATTGGAGAGGGCAGTTCATGTTAAATGCAACCGTTTGTTGCGCGCAAACTTTTTCTCCCTCCTTTACTTTGTCCCGCCCTAGCTGTGGAAGGATGCCGACCATTTCGCCTGTCTTGGGCAAGAGAGAGACTAGATGAAGATTGAGCATCAAATACGTGTTAATGGGACTGCTCTGCAGTAAATGAAATGAGAGAACTGGATTTATAAATTTAGGATTTATTAAGATGACAAGTACCATTTCCCTTGAAAAATGATTTGAGCTAATGATGCAACCAAACACATACATGGTCTGCATGCTGCAGTTTGCAGCATCTCCTCACAACAAAAATCTTCGCCACCTTTTCTTATACCCTCAGAAAAGAACTACCACTGGACCACAGATATCACGTATGCATATAACTAGAGTAGCTTTGTGCATTTGTGTAGAGCTCAAGATAAATTACACTTTTCATGACATATGAGTAGTGTGACTTTCAATGACTTTTTATTGAATAGTGCCTTTCATCCTGTGTAATAGATACATAATTCCATGCTAATAACGATTTTGAACTAGTTTGGAACGATTCTTTTTTTTTTTTTTTGGGGGGAATAATTCTTAAAATTTTACTGACTGCTATGATTTCTTGGGGAACTGGTTAACCATGCAAGGAGATTGATTGCGTCTAATTTAAGCTAGGGAAGTCAATATTGAAGTAATCATATGAAGATTGTACTGATTTATTTGATTATCAGTTTGCAATCAGGATATCTAGTGAACGACGGAGGGTTCCAGGAAAGTTATACATAGATGCGCTCTTAAAAAGGTGGTGAAGTAAAATCTATAGGATTTCAAATGCTTCTTCCTTCATGTTTGTATTTTGTAATTTCAGACTAGCAATCACTGAGAGTTGTTAAATGGCCCTATTGCCCTGATTCTCGACGAATAAATTTATATTCTATTATGGCATTTTGATTTCATTCCCAAAATTCATGCATTTATGCTATATTGGAGTCCCCTGCACGCAGTGCAAGTTGATAAATGGCGTACCATATAAGAATCCAACATTATGAATTATCATGACCCTCGCGGATTACTCATGTCTTTCTTAAATAAGACCGTGTCTTAAAATTTTATTGCCTAACTGGTTGTGTTATTGAATCCTTTCGAAGCATTTATTACGTTGCTTTTATCTTTAGGCCTGTATATCCCTTGGCTGCTCGTGTCGCTTAGAATGTTAAAAGCATTATTCTTTTTTCGGCTGTTTTGTACTCGTAGAAGTTAAATGTTGCTTATTAGATGCCAGAAGTTTGCCCGAACGAGAATACCCATATATTAGTGCTGGTGCTTCAAGTGTCTCGTCCGCTCCTGAGAATGATTTTTTTTTTTTTTTAATATGCAGGATATGATTCCATTGTATTGCTATGAACATTGTGCGATACTGCGAACATTATAATTTTTCTTTCTTCGCAACTTCCTTTTTGATCTGGCTGTTTTTGTGTAGGATTGGAAACTACCAAAATTACCTGTCTCCACTTGTTTTGCTTTGACATGTTACTTTTATGATGTGGATCTAAACGATTGGTGTGTTGGAATTTGATAACTATACTTAAATATGATTAGTTACTTGCTCTTTTTTCTTTTCTTTTTTAATCTCAGAGTTGCACATTTCTTAAGTTTCTTCTTGACTTGTAGATGGCTGATTGTTGTTTGTGGGTGAGATGTATTGCGACTGCGTTTCAATGAATTTGGCCAGACCTGCTTGGAGGGATTTTGTTTTTTCCTTGTTTAGATGTGAAATTTCTCAACCAAAAAAAAAAAAAAACAAAAGAAAAGAAAAACAAAATAGAGAGGAATTTCTCAAAACTAACATGCATAAGTATATTCCAGAGCGTGATGTAACGCTTGAAATGAGCGTTCTATTATTACAGCCAACAATTACTAAATTGGAATGTGTATTGTCTGCGAGTGACGATGATACTTTCTTGGGAAGCTGCTTTAAATTAGTATGGCGGTATGAGGACCTAGAGACTTGGCGAATAGCCCTGCTGATTTTGCATGATATACAAGTTGCTTGGCTCAAGACCTGTTTTGTTGGCTACAGTGTTTGAATGGAGATGACTGGGAGCAGGGTGCCCGCCTTTAAATGGCTTGGCCTACAGTTTCTTTCTTTCTTTCTTTTCCTGTTTCCTTGGACTGGCCATAGATGATAATGTAAATAATCACGCAGAAGTCAGATTTTCTTAAATGGTTTGTGTGGCTAGACCTGTTTGGAATCCCAAGGGTTGGTAGCTTAGTTGCGACTTTCTTTTAGGATTCATTTTGTTTATGAAAATGCAGATACAAGGAAATAATTTTTCATTTTCAGAATGTAAAATTTTAAAGAGAAGTATGAGTTTTGTTGATTCAATAAACTAGAGTTCAATTTCGCATGCGACTCATACATCACACTTTAAAGTTGAACAGCAGTGTATTGCTATGCCTTGGAAGAATTTGCTTTAACTCTGATGCAATAAATAAACCAACATCGAAATTTGGAAAACCTGGAAATTTAACGGTAAAACGTCTTTGAACTTGATAAAAGTGGGAAAAAAAACCTAATTATCTTGTCCTGGCTTATGCGATGTGAATGCAAAGAGCGCGTAGGAAAAGCCTGTAAATTGCATTCAACTACAAGCAATTCTTGATCCAAAGAAGTATTCACACGATATTATAACCCCCTAGCGTTCATTGGATACAAGTGCTGACAAAACTAACAAGTCAGAATCCCTTGACGCAGACGCGTTTCTAGTGGCATCAACTTGTCTCAAAAAGATGCCAAACATGCAATGGAATTACATGCTGATTTAAGTAAAAGAAGGCATATCAATCCATCCTTCAAGTTAAAAGTTTTACCTCGGGCAATATCAGTAGCTTGGTAATCAAATCATCAGGTCATCTTTCCACTCTAAAATGGTATCATTCTTCAACCACGTTCACCAATTCATATTCCACCAGAGAAAGGTTGTTATCCTCTTTGACTACAAAATTTGCAGGTTCTGTTACCTCAATTCGGCCCCATTTGTCCACAGCTAGCCTCATTGATCCCTTAAACATGTCAATCTTCGCATTTCGAAGGATTACTGTGCTCTCTGGCTTCATCAAGTCCACTGTAGCAGAAAAACAAGCATCACGTCATTACATAATTGAGCATATCTGATATCTCTATTCACTGAAGTATGTTTGGATGGGGAAAATGGAGAAGGGAAAATTTTATTGAATCTATCTATTTGGGTTATTTTGCAGGGAAATTAAATGACCATATTGTCGTTTAAACTACCCACTTTCCTTCCTTTTGTGTCTAATTTCTCTGCAATCTTCCTTTCCTTTCCCCTCCTAACTCCCAAATGTACCGCAGATATAACATCTATAGCCATATCACTAATCAAAGCATCCATGGATTTTAATTAATTGAGTTTACTAAAGACTTCAAAGCTCATGTAACTTAAACGACATCTCTACAGACAATATAAAACCCAATCTATTCCATCTCTATGAGTCAAATCCCACTTTTCCTCTGCTTTTAGTTACCCAGTTAAGCCTAGAATACGTCTTCAACGTTGTCCTGTTTGCTTTCTATATTCTTCCAAGTAAATAAATGAACAGAAATTTCACACTGAAGAGTCAATGTCGACAGCACTATCTTGATAATCATTAATCATCAATGATTAGTTCTTCATCTTAAAGAGGTTAAAGAATGTGTACTTGAAACGGGAGGAAAAACACTTGAAAGTAAAAAATATAAAGTTGTTTATCTGCAATATATTAGCTTACTGGCTAAAGTAATTCTAGATTTCGAGATCTTTTTGCTTCAAAGAAACCCAGTGTTAAAGTAAATTGACGAAAGAGGCATTACTGGCTAAGTGGTGACGTGAATAGTGATGACATGATAGTACTAACTGAAGAAAACTTAACAATTTTCTGAATCCATGACCTTGTAACACCAATATTGGATCGCATCAACTCAATCAAATAGTAAAAAAAAAATTGCGGTAACAAGTTCAGTGCAGCTCAAGAAAGAGACATCAAATACCATTCGCATAACCTTCAAAGCAAAACTTAATCACAAAAGCACAAAATACAAACATGTTGTTACTTGTTACCATTATCCTACTACCACAATGACCCGCATGTTTCCCCAAGCTATCATTATCACACCCTTGGGCAAAGCAACTCAAGGGGAAGCGCAAAATCCATCCTTGATCAACTAAAATTGGCAAAACATACATAAAAAAATGATCAAGGTCCACTTTATCTATAAAATTTCACAACCCACACAGATCCCGGCAAAATCTGATAAATTTGACTCCTGAAACATAAAAAGCTATGACCTTTGGATGTAATTGTGATGCCATGAGGATCATTTCAATAAGATGGTATATAGATTTCATGTAACCGACCCAGATAATAAAATTTAACGCTTTTCATCGGGGCAGCCACATTATAGTCACCACCCTAGATCCGGATGTACAAAACACCTCCGAAGTCTCACTTTCCGATTTCCATAATCAGTGCATCATAAAAAACCGGAAGAGTCCCACAGAGAAACAATCGTGATTTCACAGAATCCACAATAATGTAGATCCGATCAACGAAATCCCAAATAAAAGGAAACATTCGAGCAATCAAAAGGCAGCCCCCCAGATAAGTTTGCATTTTTTAGAAGCGGAAAAATATTTTTAAAACAAAAACAAAAAAAAGGAAAAGGAAAAGGGAGGGTCTAGGACCTTGTTCGTTTCGAGCAGTGAAAAGGATGGCGCCGGTCTCGTCACCGACGAGGCACTCTGCGATTAGCGTTGGACGAGGGTTCCGAGAAGAAGTGGAGGGTCGTCCTTTCTGCAAGACGGTGTTGGCAGACACGACCTTAACGACCAAGTTGTGACCGTTGGTTCCCGGTTTCAGTTGATCCACTTTAACGAACACCGGCTTCCTCTTCACGGGTGTGCTAGCTGTACCTCCTTGCTGATTCGACGCCATTGATTCCGATCCCCGGATTTCTTTGCCTTTCCTTCCTTCACCGGTTCACAATCACAGCGCTGTATCAAATTATCATTCACTTGCTTGCAAGTGGAGACTCATGCTGATAGATAGTCATTTCTGCTTTTTCGGTTTTCTTCTTCGCAATAAAGCGACACGTCGTTTGGGTTTGAGCCCAATCGTGAACGTCACGACTCACGTGACACCCATTGGTGGGTTAGATCGAACATCAAATTAAATAAATTTGTTGAGTTAATTTAATATTTAATTTGATCTTAAATATAAGATTTTAATTCACTTTTTATTATATTTATTATTTTTTTAAAATAATTGTATATATTAAAGGTTCAATTAAATAATAGTTCTAATTAATAAAAATTATTAGTAAAAATATTTTAGTAAAGACAATACCTAATTATTACAAATAACCAACTTAATAAATTTATTTAATATATTGAAATTAGTCAAATGTTTCTTGTAATAAGCACAGGAGGTAGTACTGTTCATCCGTGTATTACTATATAAGCTCATCCATTTCCAAAATCACAATTTGAAATGAGTTATTTGTAAATATATAATTTGATTTTCTAAACTTGAAATGAATTATTAAATTTGAAATTGTGATGGGAAAATAAAAAATTCTTCTCTTAACTTAACAATTAAAATCACATGCTGATGGATACAAAAATTTGATTGATTTGATTAACTCAGATTTAATGCCCGAATTTAACAAATTCACAAGTACATTATAAGATATAGGAAAAGAACGCCAGAATCACTAAAGCAGGTGAATATATTGAAATTTCATGTGTAAATTTAACATATTCACAAGTACATTTCGATTTAGGTACGTCGACAATTAGGTTTGAATTAATTTCAGGAATGTTAACATTATTATAAATCCAAATTAACCTTCTTTTTTTGCCTGAATTTAACCTTTATTTGAGTCTATGCACATGAAAGAATTCCTAAGTTACGATTGTTTTCTATTTGTGATATAATTTGGCTTAACTTGAATTAGTTAAAATTATAATGTAACTTCTACATATCATATAGGGGTTTACTTTTTTTTTTTTTAAAAAAACCTCTTCTCGACTTCTAATTTGTTTTGACTCAAAAGTAAAAAATAATGTTCTATGTTCACTTGGAATTATAAAAAGGAAAAAAATTAACAAGCTCGTAATTACAATACCAGAATCGCTAAAAATATAAACAAAGCGGCAAAATCTCTCCAACCACCGAATGAAAAAACAGGGACATGTTCAAAACCGACCGTAAGCTTGTTTTGCTTTTATATCTTCCCCGAGACAAACCCGACATTTCCTCACAAATCCCCTCCTGGCCACGAAAACAAACAAGCCCACGTCTCTGTCCATCTCTCTCATTTCATTCCGCATTTCTCAAGTTTACTTCCTTTGAACATATAATCTCTCTCTTCTCTTACAAAATGTCAAGGTTCCTAAGAAGTTGACGGAACCACTAAACAAACAGCAATAGGGGTTGCAACTTTCTTATTGTGAACAACTTTAGGACTGATTTGATTCCATTCCATTAAGCATTTGCGCGAGTAGGTGGCTTCCATCAAGACCCATCTTTCAGAAAGCTTGATATTTTTGATCGTTCATTGGTTCTATGGATTCTGATTTCTGGACCTCGCGTCTCGCCGCCGCCAAACGCCAATATGCGTTTCAGCAGCATCAAAGTTCCCAATTAGGTTCGTTTTGAGCTTAGTTTCAATTTTTCCTCCCAATTTGTCTTATTAAGTTACTACGAAATATCAAAGATTTTTAAAATTTTGGTGGGCTAAAAATCTGACTTTTAACTTTGCGGGGAGTCAGATCGGTTGGGAATCTATGATTTCGTTGTGGAAGACGAGGTTCGACCTGATTATTCAAGCTCCTATGAAGACGTCGACATCGCGTCCTTGTGTTCGAATCTCGAAGACGAGCACGCGTGTGAATCTAGAGCTACGGTACGATGAGCTGCTACTTTTCCTCCCGTTTTGATGTTATTTTTCCTGGTCGCAAGCCTAGATCTATGAGTCTTTTCAAATGTCTGTTTGCTTGCAAATTACTAGAATGGTGTATTGGTTTTATACAATCCATCATTGTTGTGAAATCAATATCGAGATTCGTTTATTCCCATTTAGGAAGGCCAGCTTGGAGAACTCATGATGGGATTTAAGCCGTGAGGTGAGCCATTTAGATGGATATTTCTTAACATTTTTGCCTCACCAATTTCGGCGAAAAAAGAACTCTTTTCTACGTTACTTGCATGATAAAACCCAAGTCAATGACCGTAGGATATTTATGAGATGCTCTGCCTTCTTGAGTGACCATTGTGTTGCTTTCTCTACTTTTTGGATGCCCTGCAATGATCAATGGCCGGAATGTTATGTGTGCGATGGCCAAAGTGCACTTTTATTCTCTGAAATTTCAGCCTGTAATGCCATTTCAACGCTTAAAAAGAGTTAATGAATGTTAAGGAAAAGGACAGTATCAAACCTTTTGAAGCTTTGTAATTGAAGACTACTAGGAGATTTCGGATCTTAATACACATTAGATAATTCAAGTCGTGGGCTTTCTCTATTTGGAAAAAAGTTGTCTCGTAATAGAACTTTATGTGCTGAGAAGACCTTGTGAGCTTAGAAGCACATCATGAAGAAAACCCAACAGTTATCAAATATAGGTAACAATAGCTGGAGAAGAGAAGCGAGGCTTGAGAATCATGTGAATTTGAGGATAAAGAATTTGAGCTATCACAAATTTGAGATGTGTTTTTTTTTGTTTAAAGCTCTGAATTTATATTGGCTCATGATTGATATGCTTAAAATTTTGAGGTCTTTTGGGATGGACGAGTTTCTCAATTATGGTCGGTTTGAAGAATGTTGCAACTTGAATGATATTAGGGAAAACCAAAGACGCTGAAGATCAATGCATAGCAACTCACTTCTTTGTGGTTACTGCTTGTTAACACATCTCTGTATTAGCTATTTAGAATTGAACTGATCTTTAGTTTCAGTTATAAGGTCTCATTCTTCTATTTTTTGCGATGCAGATTTGTCCAATATGCTCAGTTAAAGTTGCAAGGGACATGTTAAGTCACATAACACTGCAGCATGGACACTTGTTTAAGATATCCTTTATATGCGTTTTCATGTAAAATTGCTGGCTAGAGAGAAAGGGAGATTTGAAATTGCTGGCTTTTTAGATCATGGGTTGTTATTGTCAGACACTAGATTAACTCAAAAGCTGTAGTTTTTGGTACAGCTCTATAAATGGTTTTTACAGAACTCTTCAACATGCCCTTTAACACAAAAAACCATGGAACTTGAAGGGTTGGCAAAAGATACATTCGTCATACTTTAGACCACTGAACCATAGAGGCTCTGATATGATGTCGAATGACAGTTCAACTCAAGCTTTTAATTAATAAGCCATAGACATTTTTATTCAAATATCTAACAGTTGATTGCTTCCCTTAACTAAGGAATACTTGCAGAGGCGACGCAGGTTACGTAGAGTTGCTGTTCCAAGCAGTCAGGCTCTATCCCTCCTGGGCCGGGATCTTCGCGAGGCTCATTTGCAGGTCCTTCTAGGCGGCGGCGGCGCCAGCAGTGGTGGAGGATACCGGTCAAACAGTGTTAACGCGTCCAGTGCTGCAGCTACTGATCCATTCCTGTCCTCCCTTATTTTTAATGTTCCTGCTTCTGAAGCAGAAGATATTTCAAAATCCGTATTGACAGCTTCTGAAGACTCTTCCCCAAAGAACCCAGCGCCATCGCATATATGGAAATCAAGGTACTATTAACTTATAATTTTAGTTTTTGTTAAACAGCTCAACATTGTGAATTTAATGAACTTGAATTGAAGCCCGTCCCACTACTTTAAGGCCAACTCGAATTTATTGAATGAGTCTATGCCCATAACCTAACATGCTTGTTTGATATTCTCAAACTCTGTAGCAGTTTTGATGCGTCGTTGAGTAATGAAGAGCGAGAGAGAAGGATGAGGCAGGCCGCTGGGAGATCTGGGTTTGTGCAGGATTTGTTTCTGTCAACTTTGTTAGGCGACTGATTTGGAAGATGCAAGTTTCTTAAAAGAAATGAATGGCAAATCCCCATTCATTCTAAGGATCTTGATGAAGGATTTCAAGATATTCGTTATAATTGTCCATTTACACCAACCTTTTATAGAGAGAGAGTCTCCTTCGTAATTGTATTATTTCTTTCATTATTAAAGAAAAAAGAAAAAAAAGGGGAAACTAGTTTTTTAGCTGTCAGTCAATGCTCCTTGTAATATATGCATCTGCTTGTCTTGTTTTATTATTGTTTGACGTATTGTTTCCTCGCGTTCAAGTTATTTCAATCAAATTTTACTAGTTTTGCAAAAAATTAAGTTTTTAGTAATACATCACAAAAAATAAGCTAAAATTAGAAAAAATTACGATGAGGTCTCAAAAAATAAATATAATTACTAAAATATTTTAATGAAGAGTTAGAAATTGTCATTTTTTGCTATAAAATTTGTGATTACAAATTAAGTTGACAATAAAAACTTTACATGCATAAGGTGGTTCAAACTTCAAAGTCCCATTCTGTGCCATACTGAGAATGTCAGCATCTTTTTTTCTTTCTTTTTTTGGGAGCCAAAAGAATGTCAGTCCTTGAGTAAGCGCTTTTATCTAGGGCTTTAAATGTGGTCCTAATTAATTCGATTTTTAATAAAGTCTATCTAAGGGTTTTTGTTTACATTTTCATTCATTTAGTTTATGCTACAATTAATAAAATAAAACAACAGGATTTCAGCAGATCTTGAGCAATTTTTTTCCAAAAATAAAAGCAAAAAGAGGGCAAGTTATCCGATTATAAGATAAAAGATTTTCCAAATTATGCAAGTGACATGGGATCTGTCTTGATGCAATAATACATGCTTGCGAGATGGTCAATTAAAATTGTGAAGTTGCTTGCCTAAATAAACATGCGCCTCATCCAACCGTGCAAGGGATGTCACCTAGTCAGTTGTTGTCCTGATAAGACCAAATAAATAATGCCTTAGGTGCACTATATTCCCCTCCAATTGACCTTATCTTTATTAAATATTATATATTTTAATGTTAAGATGTAATTTTAGTCCTGATCTTATTTTTCAAATATAATTTTGTCCCTATTTTTTAGTGATACAATTTTGCTCCTTAATTTTATTTTTCAGGTGCAGTTTTACCTTTGAACTTTTTTTGGGTGCAATTTTGTCTCTAATCTTTAGATGCAATGTTGCTTCTAGAGTCAAAATTACACCACTAAAAAGATCACAAACAAAATTATACCTGAAAAATAAAACTGGGATTAAAATTGCACATCAACCCTATGTTTTAATCTTAACTTATATCTGAATTAAATTTCACATGAAAATGGTTTGTGATTTTGTTCATCAAAATATAAATTTGTGGAGGATCCGCAATGAATAGTATTTCACAGAATAATATTGATTCACGCGGGCGTCACCGACCAGCCTCGGCCGTGAACCAATTACCATCTACGAATGGCAGGTGGGATTGAAACGATGACGTATTCTCTTCTCTAACCCGCCGCTTCTTCTTTTTCTCGTTTTTAAATGGCTTGTTTATGCCAACCCATCTCTATATTATATTTCATCCTCTGGACCAAGTCAAAGGCCTTGCCAGTTTCTGTCTCCTCTGTTTCATTTCTTCTTCTGAAACAGCTTCTCCTTCCCCTCCCTCCTCCTTGTTCACCAGCCTGCCTGTACAAGGAAACTGCATCATCATGTTGGCCCTGATCCTGCTGACTTGTACCGGCTTCGTTCTCTTTATTCATGGAGCTAGTTTCTTATTCCACCTTCTCTCCCCACACCTCTCTCTTCGCTCTCTCAGGTCCTCTTTCTTCTTCATCCGCTCAGCCTTCCTCTGTTTTGATTCTTCATTTTGGCTTCGACTAATTTTCTGCAATTTATATCTATATCAGCTTCTACTGATCAATTCGTTCCCTTTCTGGGTACTGACTGTTCTCTTACGCTTCATTGCAGTTTCTTAGGATTTACTGTGTGGTAAAGTGAACAAGACAAGATAAAATTATCTGCAGAAACTAGCTCCAATGTGCACACCGAATTCTTTAATTACATAGATTATGATGTAGCCGTCACCGTTTTGTAAAGGAATCTATATTTATTTGTAGGTAGCATGAATAATAAATTTGAGAAAGCTCTGCACCATAATTATTCATATTGTCATACTAGCTTCAATATATATATATATATATATATATGCGTTTAGCATTTGGCTGATAAACTATCGATCAAGAGGGTACTGAATTCAATTCAAAGTTTCCAGTTACTTGGAACGTGCAGGTGATATGATCTGCTCTCCTAAATTTCATAATTAGAAGCTTTCGTTACGAGTGCGACACAATCTTCCAGGTCAAGAATGTGAAAAAGAGCGATCGGAGGACGACGAAAATTTTGATTCAGAATTGCTTATAGCAATCGCGGGAGAAATCAAAAGAAATTTATGGTCTCAGATGAGCAGGGAGGAACATTTTGGTGAAGGTCATGTGATTGGAGATACAGTTAATGACACAAGCAGGGATCCACTTCCCACTTGTGTTTTTTTATGTGGTTCTTATTCATGCGCTAGCTAGTTCCCAATCACCACGTGACACAATGTTTATCAACAATTAACCAATAACCAACGCGTGATTGCGAAAGGCACGCAACCTTATCCAATAATCCATAAAGGTTTCTTAATTACCTAGAACTCTCTAAACCTTATAACCTCAGGCTTCTTAAGTAACCTTGGCCTGGCTTGATCCAATCCGAACAATCTCTTATTGTTACTCTCGGCCAGCTTGCAATATGAGCTCAAACAAATTTGAGATATTGAGGATATACGATTGCTTAAATCATTAGTTTGATTCGGGGCTCCTGTCGAAATTAAGCGACGAATCCTAATCTAATATTCTCCGGAATGTCTAACAAAATTGCCTCTCTCTCTCTATGTATATTGATGTAATTAAATTATGAGCTAAAATGCAAAATTATTCAAGAAGTTTTCACCTATAAGCGCCGGCCACCAAAAGTTTTCAAAAATACAAATGAAAACTTCTAAAACAAATTTTCTCCTTAACTCTTAAATTGGCCAACGCCCCGGGGGGGGGAAGGCATTTCCGTAATTCTGGGCACTGACGTTCATCAATCCTCGTGCAAGTATTTAGGCCGTCATCAGTCATCACCGCGTTGCCTATCTAGACGATCCCTAATCACCAAAATTAGTGAATGTCCATTTAATATCACTTGACCAAGTACAAAAAATAACAGCAAACCCCTTTTTAACTCTATACGACATATAAATTCCATCTTATTTTCTGTACTGTAAGAAAATGGGCCAGTCCACCCTTGGTGGATTGGACCCAAGCCCATTTATCATTTGAGACTCCAGTGTAAATAGCAAAACTCTTGGGTCTTTAACTGTAATTTTCGCCTTTTCATATATTTTGCCAAAAAGCGGGAACGGTTGTGCAGAGGAGACGGTTATGGGGAGTTACATAACTGATACTGATAGATAGGGATCAGTTTATGAAAAAAAGTGACTTGCGTTTTTCTTTCTCCCAGATTCGACTCCGTCACCGTGATCGGACCTCCGCGTGGCAACCTGACTTCATTGCAGACTCCAGGTATGCCCGAAAACCTTCATTGGTATCAGAGCAAGAAGCTTATACATGGATAATGCAGTTCTAGGTAAAAATGAAGCAAGAAGCTTCTAGTAGCACTAAAAATATCCAAGATGGTTCATTGGAATACTTATACATGGATAATGCAGTTCTAGAACATGAACCAGAGGATGAGGACCCTGAAAAGGTTCCTCAAGAAATCCCGGAGGAGTTAATGGATTCTGGACCTGAGTCAGAATCTTTATTTCCCACTGAACCCCTCCGTACCGAACCTCATTTGGTCTGTAATGATTCACTAGATCTTCCTAATAAAACCGAAGTAGAGGAAGGCGAAGAGGTGGATCAACCCTGTACCCCTGCTTTAGCTATGAGAATAGCTGAAAGAGATGCAGCTAAATTAACAAACATAAAAGGCATCAATGGTGTGCTCGCTAGCTACGTCCATTACATGACGGATAAGAAGAATACTGAATTCTACCTTAGAGTCATGATGGAGTACATAAGAGCAATAAGAGTTAGAGGCGGACCTAAAGGCAAACCCATAAGAAAGTCTTACTGGATTTGGGCCATAGAGCTAGTGTCCTCCTTTATGAACAAAACGAGCAAACTTAGAAGCCTAAGAAAAGCAATGCTTGATTACCTTTATGTTCATATCAAATGATGTAATATTTGTATTCGTCTTAAGTTTGTGGTTTCATGCATTGTAAATAGACTAAGTATGTTATTTCATTTAATGAAATTACTTGAATTATTGTTGTATGATTATTTATGAATATCATATGTATGCCTTTTATAAGTGGGAGTTTTTAGAAGATGAGACTTCTAAAAGTTACAATCTTTGAAGTGATTATATAAAATCCTTGATAGGACATGATGATTATTGCTAGTATCTGTGTGATGAGAGGTACAAACGTATTTTCCTGATCATAGATCTAGTAATTTCATTATTTACTGATCGAGGATAATATAGGCACATTACATTGTATACTTCATTGTGCTATATAACTAAAATGTTCTTTGGTTCGGTTCTCCTTTAAGAGAAAATAGATTAATGTGGGATAGATTTGTCACAGAACTAAGAATGGCAACCAAGAACATAATTGCTGAATTGAACAAGGGAGAAAAGCTTAACGGGGACAACTGGGACATCTGGCACCGAAAGGTCCAGTATATCCTAGAGGAACAGGATGCGATAGAGCCTCTCACCACTGCTATGGTTGAACCTGAGACTGGCAACACAAACCAGCACAGGAGAGACCAAGAGGCATATCTAACCCGGAAAAAGAAGAATAGCATAGCAAGAATCACGCTTTTGAGCTCCATGGCTGATGACCTAATGTGTGAGTTTGAGTCGCACAAAACTGCACAGGCCATGTGGATAGCATTGAAGGATAAGTTTGGCGGAGTCTCTACGACCAAGCTTAGAAGGTTGACGATTAAGTTTGATACCTATAAGCTCAAGCCAAACAATCCTATGAAGCAACATCTGAGAGAGATGGCCAATATGATCCGGGAACTGAAGGAAGCTGGACATAACCTGTCTGATGAGCAGCAAGTGCAGGCTGTCATCAGGTCACTCCCTGCAAGTTGGGAGCACATGAAAGTCAACCTAACCCACAATGAAAACATCATCACTTTTAATGATGTAGCTAAGCATCTGGAGCTGGAAGATGAACGTCTAGAGGCTTACAAGAGCTCTGGACAGACTTATT